ATGTTTTATTTAAAACGAGAATGATATAATCTAATTACATTTATTAACTTGATTCCAAACAAATTGTGATGCTGTTCATATATTATTTAGTGACTTATAATTTCTTTTCTAATTTCCAACCCATATCATTTTGTCCATTATATATATATATATATATATATATTACTCACCAAGAATAAACCAATCAAAAATATTTATAGTATCTTATATCAATAGAAAATAATTCGACTTGCTCCATTGGGCCTGGCTTTGGCTTGAAAAATGTCTAATTTTTCAAGTGTTTCCGGTTCCAGCCACTTCTCATTCACACAGTAACGGTTGCAACCCGGCCCGCAAGCAATTTTAATATTTCTTTAATTTTTTTTTTCCCGATTTAGAAACACTTTTTTTAAAAATTAAGATGCCATTAATTATTTTAAACTACTCACCAATGAATAAACCAATCAAAAATAGTATAGTATCTTATATCAATAGAATAATTCGACTTGTCCATGGGCCTGGCTTGGCTTGAAAAATGTCTAATTTTCAAGTGTCCGGTCCAGCCACTTCTCTTCACACAGTAACGGTTGCAACCCGGCCCGCAAGCAAGTTTAATATTTCTTTAATTTTTTTTTCCGATTTAGATAACACTTTTTAAAAATTAAGATAGCATTAATTATTTCATTATAACTTTTATCTTTGTCAAAAAAAAAAAAGCAATAAATTTTTTTTCAATGATCGTTAATTAAATAGCAATATAGTCAATTTTTTTTTATTCTCTGAAATGTAAATAATTGTCAGAATGGAGAGAAAATAAATAATTTCACACAAATTTTTCCAACATTATAAGGATTGAATTTGGTGGAAAAAGAAAAAAAGTTAAATTATTTTTCACTTTTATTTCCTTTCGTTCTTATTTTTCTCTCATCTACTATCAATGCAAAGTTTTTCTTTTTGACTTTCCACATGTTCATTTTTTTTCTTTATAGTTTTGCTTATTCCAAATATTAGTGGAACTAAAAGTAAAACAATTACACTTGATACTGAGCGAAGCTACCATTACTTAGTTGAGCGTGAAGCTAGGGACGTGTGCTGCTTAGCCAGCTAGAAGTCACAAAGCTCCACTTGTGAACTTCACAAGCCGAGCTTTCACCTATCATCTCCTTTCAGAAATTTCAGCAATCTGTCTTTAGCGGCAACTTGTTCTCTCTCCCTCTTCTCTCTCAAAATTACCTTTACTTAAAACCAAACACTGCCTTAACATGCAGTGAGGCACACATGATACATAATCTTTGCTTCTGGAGACTAATGCTGGTGTTACTGTCCTTTTCCGCCTCCTAATACCTTTTTTCTTTTTCTCCACTCCCATTGGATATTTTTCGCTTTTGAGACATACCCATTTAGCCATTTCCTTCCTTTTAATATTAAGTCTCTAATCTCTTTTAGCTTGCTAAAAAGCAAACTTATTTGCAAAATTCACCAACCACTAATAATTAAACCTCTCCATTAAGTTTTAAGTGGGTGAAGGAAACTCATGAAAAGTTTGTGTCTTTTTGCTTAGAGGTGTTAATTTCACAGATCTGTGACCTTCAAAACCTAATTTTTATTTTGAAGGTAAAAACTACTTTTGTTAAGTGGGTTTTAAAGTTTTTTTTATAAGTTCGCATTCATTCCAATTCTTGGAAAATTCAAAGATGATCCAGCTGGTCTTAGTTTCATGTAAATCACAGTTGGTTTCAATGGAAAAATATTCTCTTTGATTTATGTCTGAATATAAGAATCTTTAGGGTTTAAAACCCTAGACCTTTTTCAACCAATAAAGCTAGCTCCTTGGCTGGGCATTTTGTTGAAGCAGAGATGATTCAGTTGCTATTCTTAGTTCTCTTTGCTGAGGGAGTTGTGGCATTCTTATTACTGGTGAAAATTGGTCCCTTGAGAGAGCTGGTGTTAAAAAGTTTGGATCAGGTAAAGATGGGAAAGGGTCCAGCTACTGTGAAAACTATTGCTGGTACCATGTCAGTGATTCTTCTATCAAGCCTTATGAGCATTGTTAAGATCCAAAACAAGGGTGCAAAGCTTGGCACCATGTCGCCCATGGATCAGGTCCTATGGAGAACCCACTTGCTTGAGGCATCACTGATGGGTATGATCCTATTCTGTTTTCTGGGTTTTCTTTTGTTTGTTACATTATTTAGCACTGTTTTTGTTACGATGCTTATGTTAAAGTTTTAGATAGAGGAATCTGCTTTTTAGTTTTAGCTTATTGGGTAATTGAATTTAAATAAGATTTCTGCTTTTGAATAGACAGAAACATTGATAATGTTCTATTACTTATGAGGCTAGAAGGTGGAAATCGTGGTCTGTTGGGAAGCGAGTTACTATAAAATAGGTTTGCGTGAATGGGAATCCAAGCTTCTCCTGTGGAACACTGTGCCTTTAGATGTAGGAAATTGGTCACACTTGCATGGTTAAAAGATCCTTCAAAAGGAAGGAAGGAAGGGGCGTAGGGGTTGGGGGGGTGGGGGGGGAGTTTGTATATTGGTCTTCTTATGAGAATCATAGACAACTTTCTGTATCATTGGTAACCTATGAGATTTCGTAGATATTAGATTTGCATGGAAATTGGTTAGTGTAATGATTCTCATGGAAACACATATCACTAGCATTAATGTGGTTGCAATTTATTTAACTATCCATTGAGTCTCTGTCATGTTTAACAAATTGAAATTTTCCTTTCTTATTAGCATTCAGATGTTATACCATTGTTTTAGATGAGTTTCCATGCCTTTCATTAGCCTTAACTCATTTGGCAGATTTATATTTCACCTCTGATTATCTCGCAGAATATTAAAAATTTTAGATGAAGTTATTTTGTAGCTGTTGCTGCTTTCTTTTAGTTGGTGTAAGTGCATTTTTGTGGATGTTTTGTCAATGGAGTATATTAGTGAACTTTCTCAAGTGATGATGTAAACTTTAATCTAATATCACTCATTGGGGATGCTAAAAGATTTTGGAGTTTGGTAAGGTAAAAAGACAGACAAGAGAGAAGGAATAGTGATATAATCAACATTTTATTGCTTCCAGATGTTGAGTATATTACTAAGATAAACATGTATACACAAGCAGAGATCGTTATCCCCTTACGCTTGTGTGTACATGTTTATCTTAGTAATATAAAGGCATGCAATCTAAATTTGGTAGCCAAGTTATGGCCAATGATGGTCAAATAAATGTAATTATTAGCCTCCAAAACATAGGTAAAACTTGGCAGCTATTGTCATCCTTTTGTTTGTGGGTTCAATTATCTTATTAAGCAAGAGCATCCATTCCTACATTTGTTAAGGTATGAAAGCATTATTTCTAACCTTTTAAAGTAAACTTTACTTGGTTTGAATGTCATAACATATGAATTGAAGCAAAGAATGTGTATTTGAACGTTAAAGAAAAAAAAAAAAATTTTTTTTTTCTGTTCTCAGACTTTCCAGATTGTGGATTGTCGTAACTCTTACGTTTATGTGGTCTAGTCTTTTTAAAATTACGAACATGCCTCTTTTACCTTGAGTTTACATTTGCTCTGCAAGAGAAGGTAAGAAGCATCCTGTCTCTCCTCTTTTTATTTTTATTTCATTTATGCTGCAAGAAGTTTGGCTTATTAAAACCTTTTGTGAGAGATCCTTTGCATGCTTTGGGATGATGTTCTTCCTCAATATGAAGCTCTCTGTTCCTGTGAACACACACAAATGGCACTTTCCATAGCCTTCAAAGGCCCTGCTCTTATCATGTAAAAACTGGAACTTTTGATTAGTCGGATGCTTTCCCTTATCAACTGAAAGCATTTGGTTCTCTACCATCGGAATGACCTGATATAAACCAAACTTGAGTGTCAATCAACTTCTATCTAATAATACCTGTGGAGTTGATCTCTGAGTACTTTCAAGCTGATTGCAATGTCTAATTATTTTTTCTTGAACCGTTCCTCATTCTTTTAGTTGAGTCTTTATCCCTGATGGCTTGAACCTGATCTTGTAGGTTTCACTCTCTTTCTTGGGTTCATAATTGATCGTATGCACCATTATCTTACAAAGCTTATTAGTCTACGAAGTAACATTGGATCTTCTAAAGAGGAGGTTGAACGGCTTCAGAAAGAGAAAATGCAGCTTAAAGGGAAGGCAGAGAAAGCTTCCACCGAAATAAAGCAACTACAGGAACAAATTTCTACCCTATCAGAGAGTTTGAAGAAGCTGAAGTTGGAAAATGAAGAGAAGGACAAGCAGATTGAAACTGCTGAAGCCCATGTTGTTGCTCTTCAGAAACAATCTGCTGACTTGTTACTTGAATATGACCGTTTGTTAGAAGAAAATCAAAATCTTCAGGCTCAGGGATACAAGAGCTGAGGATTTTCGGTAATTCTGGTTTTAAGTATTTCCATTCATCAGTGGTGTTGCAGAAAACATCTTACATTTGATGGAAATGAAATGGCCACTAACCAGCACATTTTAATTAGGCGGATGGAGGCACTAGGATCATTTCCCAGAAATCAGAATGCAGAGTGGGTTGCATTGACCAGGATCAGAAATTTTGTTATTTACATGAATCTAGCATTTTTGGCTCGACCATCTTTTTATTGTTGATAGTGACTTCTCTTTACATTCAGTTTTTTTTTTCTTTTTTCTTTTTTTTCAACTGATATAGTTTTGTGATTTAGATTGTTGATGGGATTCATAGTTTTGAAATCGGTGATGGATAGTCGGAACTTTGCCAAATTTTATTGCGGTTCCACTTTCTTTTTATATAGGTGCCTAGAGGTCTACAAAAGAATGGACTGTGGTAAAATCATAATCAGATAAGAGAATGGACGGAGTAGTGACTAAGATTTTTCCTTTCATCGTCTGGAATTGTTAATCAATACTCAAAACTTGAGCAGAATATCAATATTATAACTTTAAAATCATATGATGGGGGTTAAACAAACGAAAAAAGTATTGTTGGTTTCTGCAAAATGATATACACTAGTGAAAAATCTCTCATTCGACGTGGTACTTAAAAAAATGCTTCACTACACCAACTTGCTGGTGTTGCAGATACTTGAAAAAAAAAAAATGCTTCACTACACTAACGTGCCAGCTTTTTCTGCGCCTTTTTTTTCCGCAGTTCAAAACATATCTGACTACAGAAGTGAACTCCACCCGTCTGAAAATTCTACAGAAACTCAAAGACTGCAAGCGCCAGAAAATCAAAGACTGTAAGCACCTGCAAACAGATATGCAAGTACATTATTGCTGTGTTATAAGGTCCTAGTCATCAAAACGATGGGGGAAAAAAATGGAACCAATGATAAATAGGTACTTTGACATCAACTCACAAGAGCTTCTAATGCCAAATCCTGCTTGGTTCTGAAAGAGGATCCGGAATGATTAGGCACATGCATATCTGTAGTCATAGCCTATATCCCGCTTGATAATTGCTGGCAGTCATACAAGTCCCAGGGAACAAAAGTCTTGCCTCAGAAATGCCTCAGAAATCAGATTAGAAAGATGGTCCATTTTTTACAGCAGTTTAAAGTGCTTTTTATTTGCATGGCCTTTTATCTTCCAGGCCTTTTGCCGCAAAGCTGCAGTCTCAAAGTGATTATTTAACAAATATTAAGTCACTTTTTATCCTTCAGTCACTTTTTACCCTGCAGTCTAGAAGCTCTGCCCTGCTGTTCCAGTTCAAAAACAATCCTCCGTCCTCAGCAAAACCCCCTACCAATGGGAGGTGGGATCTTGGAATAACAGCTATCAAATATATTATTGACACCTTATGCACGTGGAACTAATTTAAATACAACTAGCCTTCTAGGGAAATCTCTCCGCTCGATGGGAATTGCAAGAATGAGGGCATAAGGTCTTGAAAGTTTTCTACACCTTGTTTAGTTCTAATTCTGATCAGAAACATAAGCTCCACAAGCAGCAGCTGTTAATATGATTGGAAATTACGCTTTCTTCAACAGGGGACTTAAAGTGGAACCTCAAAAGCATAGATCTAATTGGAGTTGATTGCATTTCTCACTCCAAATTTTTGATGATTTAATCAATCTTTCTTGGGCAAAACGGAGGACGTCTCAATCGGGGAAGACAATGGGGGAATCCTGTATGACTTCATGAAACATGAACTCTGTCTCCGGGTTGCATCTGATAGGTCTCATCTCATTATCCAAACTATCCAATATTTGCAAGGTTTCTTCACATTGATGATGCTTCTTGTCTTCCATTAGAAAAGCTTGGTGCTTGCCGTTCACTTCCACTGCACTGTAACCAGGTACTTTCCTCATTCCTGTGTTTTTTATGATCTTCCTCAAGGCAGCTACCTTATCCCACTTCTGGGCCATGGAAAAAAAGTTTGAAACCAAAACATAAATTCCCAAGTCATCTGGATTTGACTCGAGAATTTTCTTCGCTGCCATTTCTCCAATCAACAATTTTCTGTAATTGTGGCAACCTGACAAAAGAGCAACCCAAATGGCAAGGCCTGGTTCAGTGTGCATTGATTCTATTAACTGATAAGCTTCTTCCACTCGCCCTGCCCGGCTCAAAAGATCAACCATACAAGCATAATGCTTCTCATCTGGTTGGATCTTATGTTCATTAACCATGATATGAAACCAGTATTGACCTTCTTCTACTAGGCCCGAGTGGCTAAAGGCTGAGAGAAGAGAAGCAAAAGTTGCATGATCTGGATTTAAGTTTGTTTCCCTCATCTTGAGGAATAGTGAGAGAGCTTCCTTTCCATATCCATGGATTCCATAGCTTGAAATCATTGCATTCCACAGTATTAAGTCCTTAGATTCTATCAGATAAAATAAAGCTCGTGCACAAGAAAGTGCTCCACATTTTGCATACATATCAATCAAAGCAGTGCCTGAAACTTGCTCAAAATGGAACCTTCTAACAATATATCCATGTAAAGATTTTCCCCATTTCAAATAACCAACTTGTGAACACGCAGAAAGTGCACTGATAAGAGAAACAGAATCTGGTCTGAATCCAAAAGTCTGCATCTCAACCAACAATGCAACTGCCTTCCCTGCAAAACCATTTTGAGCAAAGCCAGAAATCAATGCTCCCCAAGAAACCACAGTCTTATATTTCATCTCCTTGAAGACAAGAGAAGCACGCTCCAATTGTCCATTCTTAGCATGCATATCCACAAGGCTAGTTTGAAGGAGGACATTATGCATGCCTATTTCTCTCCTAATTATATACCCGTGAACAGAAAGACTCAATCTTGAATCCCCAATAGAACCACAAGCCTGAATCAACCCCACAGTTGCAATCCCATCTCCTTTGATCCCTTCCTTTTGCATTCTCCTATAAATAGCAATTGCTTCCGATGCCTGCCCAGTTTGCACAAATCCTATTATCATAGTAGTCCAACTGACAACATCCTTTTTAACCATTTTGTCAAACACCACCTTAGCTTTATCCATTTTCCCACACTTGGCGTACAAATTCAAAACAGACGACCCAACAAACACATCATTCCCATATCCAAAATCCATCGCCTGACTCCAAATTACCTCTCCTGCTTCTAGTTCCATCAAGCTTGAACAAGCCTTTAGTGCGATGGTGAAAGTAGAGCTATCAGGTCTAACTCTCTCAGTTATCATTTCGTTGTAAAGATGTAAAACTTCAGTCGGGTTAATTCTGTTAGAATATATAATGATCATCGAATTCCATGCATCCACGCCTTTTTGAGGCAATTTGTCGAATATATAGCGGGCAGAAATGATGTCACCAATGCGCGCGTATGATGCGATTAGACGGCTAGTGCAGTTCGCATCGACGGAGAAACCAGTTGTGAGCATGAGAGCGTGGATTTGGGCAACGGATATTTTGTCTTTGCAAGCTAAGAGGAGAGGTTTGAGGCGTCTTGGCCATGGAAGAGATCTCATTGATGTACTAGAAACCGGACAAAAAGAAAAAGTACCGTTAGCAATTGTTACCGGTGGAAATGGAGGGAAATGTATTTCATGTCACAGGGATTTGGCTCGAGCAAGTTTCTGGTGCTGTTTTATTAGAATTAAAATTTGGGTCGTTTTTAAGCATTATGTGCAATTGCTTTTGTCGTTCTTATTGAAAAGGGCAAAAATAGCGAACGACCGAACTCATATTAGACAGTATTGGTTCCGTCGTTTTTATTAACAAAGTTAAAAGGCTAACTTTCAACAAGTAACAACGGCCTTGTTTCAAGCGAGTATGTGATTGAATTTGGGAAACGACAGTTACCACCCTAACGACGGTGAAAAAACCAGGCATAATTCTATAGCTTTGATAGGACAAACGACAGAGTTTCACTTTATTTATTTATTTATTTTTTGAGAAAGCATTCCAATTTATTCTAAATTATATAAAACATATTCAAAATTATATAAAATTTTAATTTTAATATTTATCTGACTTACGAGGTATCGACTGAAACAGTTATTCAACTTAATAAAGCAAGTTCAAGTTATATTCAATGAAAACTGAATTTATCAAACTCAAATCTTTCTGACAAAATATAAAATTAGTTTGCGATTAGCTTAATTAAAATTATTATTTTGACCTATAAACTGTTTCTAACTCTTCCATTTAAAAAAAAAAAAGAGTTAATTATAAGAAATTAATACATTATTTCGTCAATTATTATATTTGAAAAGTATATAATTTGTAGGAAAAATAAATAATTTTGAAACATTAAAAGTCAATCATTTTAAATTAAATATTACAAATAATTCAATTAAATTAAATCGGATTCATAGCAAATTACATAAAATATCGTTGTAATTTATATCACAATCTATTAAATTAGTAATAAAATATTTAAAATAATCTTTTTAGCTTCCTTTTTTATTGTGATGATAATTAATTAATTTACTTTAATTACAAAGTGAGAATTACACAAGAATAAATTCTCCCACTTACAACTTGGACTAATGGACAAGCCAGCAAGAATTAATTCCATTAAACAGTAAGCAACCATCTAGGACCTTTAAAACTGTAGGCCGCCAATTCAAGAAACTGAAGCTAAACAATGGAAGATCAAGAAAGCCAAGAAAATAAAAGTTTGAAGAAGCTGCCTATTGCAGGGAAGAGAAACATACTCATCACAAGCGCTTTGCCTTATGTTAATAACGTACCTCATCTTGGAAATATTATTGGCAGTAAGTAACTAATAACTTTCTTCTTCTTTCTTGCGGCTTTTTCCTTCTGTGCTAGTGCTTTATCAAGGGGAGTTCTTGTGTATTTTGAATTCAGGTGTTTTAAGTGCTGATGTTTTTGCTCGATATTGCCGACTTCGTGGCTATAATGTCATATTCATATGTGGAACTGATGAGTATGGAACAGCTACTGAAACTAAAGCTATGGAGGAGAATTGTACTCCTAAAGAGATCTGTGACAAGTAAGTTTTATATAAATATTACCCTGTTATCTTAATTTATCTCTAGAATTTAAAGGATTGTATGAAATTGATAATTATTGAAGAAAGATTGACTAAAATTGATAATTTGTAAAACATAACTAAAATTGATATTTGTGTAAAAAGAAGTGACATCATGCCTGCAAATTTTTCCTACCTATACCATAAAGGTTGCTCATAATGATATTTGGGTGCATAACTTGCATTTTTTGCTTCTTAGATATCATGCAATCCATAAAGAAGTCTATGATTGGTTCGACACAAGTTTTGATGAATTTGGACGCACATCAACAACTCAGCAAACTGAAATTTGCCAAGCAATTTTCAAGAAGCTAGTGGAGAACAATTGGCTTTCGGAGAACACAATGCAGCAGGTATATTGTAATTTCTCACTATCAAAATTATTATCATATTGTTCGAATGTATCTCCGGTTCTTCATTATTACTCTTCTATGAACACAAAGTCTAATAATCATGCAGCTTTACTGCGACAAATGTGAACGTTTCTTGGCGGACCGGTTTGTGGAAGGCACTTGTCCTACGTTGGGCTGTGATTATGACTCTGCACGTGGAGATCAATGTGAGAAGTGTGGAAAGCTATTGAATCCAACAGAACTTAGAGATCCTAGATGCAAAGTATAATGATGTTCTATTTACTTTTTAAACCTCTCCAAAAACATGTCTTGTTCAATATTTAAGCTTATCTTTGTTGATAGGTTTGTCAGACAACTCCAAGGATTCGTGATACTGACCACTTGTTTCTAGAGCTTCCATTGTTGGAGGATCAATTGAAAGATTATATTGATGAGACGTCAGTTATAGGATCTTGGAGCCAAAATGCAATTCAAGCTACATATGCATGGCTAAGAGATGGACTTAAACCTCGCTGCATTACCAGAGATCTTAAGTGGGGCGTTCCTGTCCCACTCGAAAAATTCAAGGATAAGGTTGTCAAGTTTATGCTAGGCTTGACTCCATTTTGTATTTTATCAGTTCCTTTTTCTATACCTGCATATCAAAAAATATTTGTTTTTCTTTTCCCTTTAACTTATTTATCTTTTTCCTTCTATCTTAATGTGTTTTAGGTTTTCTATGTTTGGTTTGATGCGCCTATTGGATATGTATCTATTACCTCGTGCTATACACCCGAATGGGAACAGTGGTGGAAGAACCCTGAACATGTGGAGTTGTATCAGTTTATGGGCAAAGATAATGTGCCATTCCATACTGTAAGAGTATTCTGCTCCCATTTCTGAATGATTTTGACAATTGATTCTGAATATACAAGAAAGTTTCATGAACTATAAAGATGGTATGCATATGGGTTTTATTTGTTTTTGTATAGCTGAGGTCAAAATTGTGTCTTTCTGGTTGATATTTTTTCCAGGTCATGTTTCCATCTACACTTATTGGGACAGGAGAAAACTGGACTTTGATGAAAAGCATTAGTGTTACAGAATATCTAAATTATGAATCAGGTATCTGCCTACGATGCTTTGATTCTTCAAAACTTTGTTATTTATATTTAGTGATATTGCAGGAAAGTTCTCAAAAAGCAAGGGAGTAGGAGTTTTTGGCAATGATGCAAAAGATACAGAACAGCCTGCTGAAGTCTGGCGATATTATCTGCTAGCGAACAGGCCAGAAGTGAGTTCCTAAATTCTTTTACTGCTGTATTTGGTTATTACAAAAGATTGTGTTTCTTGGAAATATTCATGAATTTATTTTCCTCAGATTTCTGACACAGTATTTACATGGGAGGACTTCCAAACAAAGTTGAATTCTGAGTTGATAAATAATTTAGGCAACTTTATACATCGAGTATTGAGCTTCATTGCCAACACTTCAGGTTAATGGCTTCTTGAAATGATCATATTCTTGAGTGCCTCTTTAAGGTTTTGCTGCCTAAATGAAAGTCCACAAAAAACCTTTATATAAAAATGTCAAACTGTTAATAAACATGTTTGGACATTCTTAATATGTTGAAAATCTCTTGATTTTGTTAGATTCTGCATAGAAATGGATGAGAAACCTTTAATTTTATCTAGCTTTATTTTATTAGCAAGCTCATAGGATTTTAAGCTTTAGTATCTTATGCCTCTTCACTCCGTTAGTTTCTTTCCCTTAATAAGAGGTTGTCTTCTCCTAAAATTTCAATGATAATTCTTCTACAGGAAAAGGATATGAGACTGTCATTCCTGATGCTCCAGGGGCAGATTCACATCCCTTAACAATGGCAATGACAGAAAAAGTTGGTACCCATGTGAATCAATATGTAAAAGCCATGGAGCAGGTAAATAAATGTAGTTTATGGCTAGTGATTAATTCATTTCTAGATGACCTTATTCTCTCCTCTGCTGCAACCTTTTGCCAATAGGCTGTTTTTGCTGTGGCTTGATGCAGGTTAAACTAAAGCAAGGACTGAAATGTGCAATGAGCATTTCTAGTGAAGGAAATGCATATCTTCAAGTAAGCTTGTAAAAGCTTTATTTTGATATAATTGGTATAATTACTAATTGTTCTTGACATCTTTAAATCACTAATTCCTTCTTCTTCTTGATTTTTTTTTTTTTTTTTTTTTTTTTTTTTTTTTTTTTTTTTTTTTTGTTTCTTGACCATCTTTAAATCACTAATCCTTCTTCTTCTTTGTTTTTTTTTTTTTTTTTTTTTTTTTTTTTTTTTTTTTTTTGTTACGGAATACAAGGAAAGCCAGTACTTTAAGGCTTTTGAAGGAAGATAGGCTTCCTGCTCCATTGTTGTGAAAAACTTCAGTTGGACTTGTTTTACTTCTTTCTTTGCTTGTTTAGAACCTTTTTCATGGCCTCATTTTTGCATAAGGTTATAGAATTAAGCCCCTGCAAATATGGACCGTTTCAAATATTAAAGCATTTTTTTTTTTTTTTTTTTTTTTTTTTTTTTTTTTTTTTTTTTGTTACGGAATACAGGAAAGCCAGTACTTTAGGCTTTTTGAGGAAGATCAGGCTTCCTGCTCCATTGTTGTGAAAACTTCAGTTGGACTTGTTTATCTTCTTTCTTGCTTGTTAGAACCTTTCATGCCATCATTTTCGCATAAGGTATAGATTAAGCCCTGCAAATTATGGACGTTTCAAATATTAGCATAAACCTATTCAAGATAATTAAGATATTTATGTAATTAGCAATGTCAATAAGCTCTGCGTTTGTGTTTACACTCAAGGTATTCCGGCTGCTTAAATTGCCTCGAGAAACAAGATTTTCGCTTTCTGAAGAAGATAATTATCTTGAGAAGGCACACAAACCTTGGGAAATTATTCCTGCTGGTCATAAAATTGAGAAGCCATATCCATTATTTAAGAAACTGGTAAGTATGCAATTTTATCTTGGATTTTTCAATTCCTCTAGCAGCATTTTTGTGAGGAAAAAAAAGCATTCTCAGCCCTTGAACTTATCATATTTTGTCTATTGGGGCCTTGAACTTTTATTTATGGCAAAAGTAACTTCTTTTTGTTGCTTATCAGTGTATGTATGTATAGTAATTCGCAATGCATTATTTTCTACAGACAGATGATGAGGTGAAATCATTCAAGAATAAGTATGGTGGAAGTGGAGGAGCTGATAGAGCAAAGAAGATGGCTGAAAAATTGAAGCAAACTTATATTTCTGGATCGAAAAACTGATTCGATTTAGCGAAATTTACCTTAAATGATATTTTTGTAGCAGCATTTTGAAATACTAATTATGAAAACTGTAAAAATGTATAACTGTCATAAGAACATGGACATGGAAATGTATGCGAGTATTTGCTTAATTTAACAAATTTCTGGGGCTATTACTAGTTCTAATTGTATGTCTGGGTGTTGAATTTCTGAATTAGATAAAAATCTTATTACTTCTGTTCTTGCTAGAAATCATTATTATCTTGTTAACATATTTATATTTCATTTTTTTTTTTTCTTGGGTTCTTATTTGACTTTATGAAAAGTAACAAAAAAAATTGCTGAAAAATAACTTTTATTTTTTAAATGAGCAAAAGTAAAATAAAATAAAAAAAATAATATTTGAAAAACATATGAATATTTTCAGTTTTTTTTTTTTTAAATGAGGAAAAAGAAAATAAAAGATAAAGAAAATATATTTTTTTAAATTTACTATTAAAACGCCGTCTGTGGGAATCGAACCCACGACCACATGGTTAAAAGCCATGCGCTCTACCGGCTGAGCTAAGACGGCTTGTTGTTAAATGTAGAATTTTTAATATATATAACAATGTATTTTAATTTTACTATACTCAAGTTCTCTAACTCAAACCAAGTGCTCCGCGATTGAAAACCGAATGTGTTTTGCTTGCTTCAACAATGGCGGAAATCTCAGAACCTCCGATTGCCGCCGAACGAAAATCTGAAGTACCTGAAACTCCCGAAATATCACCAGGAGATCCCCTATCGGATTTCGACCCCAAAACCATGCGAACTACAAAACCCGGATTGAAGCGCATCTTCCTCACTCTCTCAGTCCTCCTCTCCTTCCTTCTAGGTCTCCTTCCTCCTCCTCCTCTCTCTATCTATCAAAATAATAATTTACACTTCAGAAAGTTTTCAGTTACAGTAATGCTTTTCGGCTTTTCTATTGTTATTTATTTTTTAATAATTACTTTGCAGGTTTCCCTTTCTTGTGGAAATCAGTTGAAATCTACCGATCACCGCTTCCATTTGACGATATGGAGAAACTTTCAAAGGAAATTGAATCCAATCCCTTGCAATTTCCATGCCATTTCCAAGCCATATTCATCAATTCTAATTCTAATGTCAATCCACAGTACTTGCATTCTTCAATCCTTTCCCAAATGACCAAACTGAGACCTCAGACTTTTCAATGTGGTACTTGTTCTAGTAATTTCAGTCTCTCTGTGACTGTAGAATCCTCCACTGATAGAGATTGCAAGCAATCTCTCCATGTTAATCCTTCTTGCTTGTACAAATGTGGCGTAATTCCTGTCATTAATTTTGATTTTGGAGATGATGATGGTGTTGATGAGGCTTTGAAGTCTGTTTTGGAAGATAGTTGTTCAGGTTTTGGCGGGAAAGTGTATAGCGTTGTGGTGTTATATCAGGATGACGTCAAAGGGGTAAGGGCGGCAGTAGGGAAGCACAGGCATGCGTGGATTGTGGGGAGGGACTTAGAAGCAGAGGCAACGGTGGAGAGAGTGGCGGAAATATTTGTGAAGGTTTTTGCTAATGGGGGCAGAGACGAGGGATCCATTCATGGGGAGTTTATGCCCGTTGGCGCTGATGGAAGGATTGTTCTATCCTTTAATTTGCTTAATGCAAACCCGGGAGATTGGATTTATGATTGGTAAATAAGTTTTTCTCTATTTTTTCTTTTTAGTCTTAATGGACTTTGTCATAGCTTTCTGTTTCTAGTTAATGGAATTTGGATGATTAATGAAGTAAAAGCAAGGTATTGTTATTTTTCGTTTGGTAAAATCATATAGAAGCTTAATGATCTAAGTTTTATTTGTTTCTTTTAAATAAGGTATTGCTACACCAAGTGAAGGTTATGTTTGTTTCTTGGGAGTTGTTTCTTTTGGAAATACTAAACAATGAAATGAACGGGAGTATATATCTTCCTAACAAAGCAACGGATGGGAAAATTTTATTGAATATTAGTTTAAGTAGCCTGCTTAAATCAAGTTTCTTAATCATTTTGTGCTTTCAGTTTCTAACTTTGAGATGATAAGATATTCTGTCAAATATATTTCATTTATCTTTTCATAATGTTTATGCATTCGATTTATCTTTATCCCGTTGTATTTGTAGGGATTTCCAGAGAATAGATGAGATTTTGTTGGCCCCAGTGATTGAAGCATTGGAACCCCTGGCAAATATAAGTGTGGAAAGTCAGGTAATGAATCATCCACCTCATGCAAAATCTTGTCTCTATTCAATTTATTTGTAAGATCGTCATTTTGGTCATTGTATCTAAAATATTTCTTTTTCGTTTTAATGTTCTTTCTTATGGATAGGTTTTGTACCACACACCAAAGTCCTCATTTTCTTCCTGGGATGAAAAATTGGGCAGCTATATCTTCAGTGTGAAGGATCTTCCTTTCTTTGTATGTTCCTTTAAACCCCTGACTGCACTTTGATATATAACCAGACAAGTAGATAGATAAAATCTTTCTTCTTTGTCATATCTTTAATCTTGGAATTCGGTGGTGTAAACCCTTGGATACAGTTTTGTTCTGTGCTCTGGCTTACTTGACATCTAATTTTATGAGTTTCTTAGTTTTTTCTTACTAATATTATCAACTATTTGAAATAGGTGAACTCAAACGAGTGGCATTTAGATACTTCTATTGCAGCCGGTGGGCGATCGAAGATATTGCAATTTGTGGTGTATATTCTTTTACTTTTTCTCCTGAGTTCTTTCAAATTGAAGTATTTACCTTTGTTGTATTGTGATATGTTTAGTTCTCACTTTTCCTGGCACTTCACGTGACCCAAACATCTGACTTTCTGTCAATCTCCTGTACTTTGCCAAATCTCATTAATATTCTGAGACCAAACTTTGATTTAAACGAGCTTTTCATGATACTTGTTATTGCCAATAATTTCTTAAATCTGTCTTTAGTAAAAGGAGAAATCCATCTTGTTGAAGGTTCTTTTAAGTTTGTGTTCGATCACTTTCTTTTTCAGATACGTACCATCTGCAAAGGAATGTCCTCTTCTTCTACAGCTTCCCACTGGAAAAATTTCTGCAACAAATAGCTTTATCTCTCCAGTGAGTTGTCATACCTTTTTTTGCTTGGTACTTATTGATTGCTGATCTCTTATGAAATCATAGCCTAATGTTATTGAATCATTTCAAAACGGCTTACCACAGATGTGGGGAGGTGTTATGGTGTGGGATCCACCAACCTGTTTAAAAGATTCAGAAAGTAAACTTCCTGGGAGACATATAATATCCACTGAGGTTAGATGTTTATCCTAGAGTGTGCAGATTGTTTCATTGCTTATAAATGTGCCTTTTCTTGACAACTTTAGAATAAGTGTACCATATGCTGGTTCTCTTAAGCCTTTTTGCTACGTGTTATCTTCAAGTTCCATGTCAGTCTTGTTTTAATAAAGCATGCTAAAAAACCACGTCTTTCATTCTATTTGTTCTATACTTTGTTTTTAAGTGTCGTATCTGTAAGTTTAAAAGAGTACTCTGAAGCTTGCTTAAAGATAATTGAAATCCTAGCTGAAGGAAGAAATGCTATATGAGCATGTTATTTTCTTGACAACTGGAATGTGGCCATAGTTTTATAGAGTTATGTGATGGGCCATAACAATAACTCATTTGTTTACATAACTAGCTGACAATGCATTATTCTGCTAACTTTAATGGACACACAAACATCAAATTATCCCCTCCAACGTGTAACTCTCTGACACAATCACACCCAACCTTCAAGGAACTCATACATACATCATAGTTGCAATCACCAAGTCATGATGGCAGATGGCTACGAGTAGTTGGACAATTAAAGAGGTCTGTTTTGGATTGTTGAATAAAGTCATCTGTTAGAGATTGGGATTAGGAATCATCTTGCACATTCTTAAACTTTAAGATAAATTGTCCTATACTTGGGCAAGTGTTGGGAACCACTGGGATGTGATGGTTGGAAGCTGTCTAGAACTTCTGTTTTCATGGATTGGGGTGACTGGAAGACTTTATTCTAGGAGCTTTATGGTGGCTGCAAGTGTTATATATCATATCTAACTTAAACAGCCATAGAAGTGAGTCTTGGAATACCTTCCCGCAAGGGTAGATAAGGAAAAGACCCATGGGGTTCTAAGTTGCTAATATATGTACTATAGGTTGATGTATTCTACATGCATGTATTCTTTGTATTAGGTATTTTTCTGGTTTGTAATAAACTAAAAGAGTCATCAAGCAACACTTAACTGTTATTGTATTTTTTTTGTTGCGATGTGAGCTTGATAAAGATTTGAAACTTGAGTTCAACTTGAAACCCTGTTTGATATACTGTAGGTGCAATGATAATGTGTGACATATAGGGATTGTTTGTTACTCCTATGTTTTTCAACAAACCAATTATCTAGTCCAACAATTTGACATGGAAATGTATTTCTGTTAGGATTGAAGCGAAATCCTGTATTTCTTATCAATCAATCACACTGGCTTTTATGACTGAGAATTGAGTTCTGTTAATAGTGGGCTATAATATGCTCTTCAATATGAGCATAGTTTTGGATTTGTTGTTTTATATAATATTTTCAACATTCAATTTTTTGTCAGTATCAGCATACATCCTGTAGGAGTTTTAGTAAATTTACTTTCTTAATTTGTTAGGAAGTACATGAACTTTGCAAATACCATTTTATGAATAGTCCTCACTTTTTGATTCATTTTCAATATGGTGAATAATAATGAGAATGTAAATATGTTGGCCATTTGATGGTATTTCCTTTTGCTTTGATAGAGCTGAGGGTTGGGGTTACAATGTGTGATGTTCGCGGATTTGATTGCAGTTTGTGGGTGGAAGGATTGTGCTACATCACTTTTTATTTCCCTCCTTGAAATGACTAAATATCCATGTTCTAATAGTGCAGATTGCTTCTTTTTTTTGTTTCTAAATTTTGTGCCCATTCCAATCAGGATCTTGAGAAGATTTTTGAAGTTTTCATGGGGCAGTTCCGGCAACTTTTTGGTCTTAAATCTGGTAGTATTTTTGTTGGTGCGCATGGCAGTTGCAACCTCTTAGCTAGTGAAAGAGGCTTCACAGAATGGTAATAAAATGGTGTTTTGACATGCTTGTCTAATTTGGATTTCAAAGTTTTGCTGTGATTGCATTATGCCTTATTTACCAAATAAAATTCTTTAGCAAGAATGATGTCAATCTGCTACGAGCTAAACTCCACATTTAGTCCATCTTAATTGGTGTACCCAAGAATGCTTCACATTCAAATTGAATTATATATTCCCTGAGTTTTTAAATTCTTTAGACTTTAGGCCTTCTGTTAGAATATCATACACTTCACTGCTCAAGTTTTCAAGTATGATACACTTCTTTGCAGATTTCCAGGGACTAAAAGGTTGCTTTATTTAAAGAGTGAAGACTAAGAATAAGGAACTTAAAATTTTGAGGGCCATGTAATTCAATTTGAAGAAAGATAAAAAAGAGGAATAAATCATATATTTCGCCAAAATGCCATGATTTTTTTCTCTCTTGTAACCTGTACCCCTTATTTATTGAATTGTATGGCATTTGCAACTCATTGAATTTTTAACCTACCTTTTTTTTTTTTAAATGTTCGAAGGTCTCGAAGTCAAAATTAATGTAGCTTAAAGGAGCGTATTTCTCACTGATCATCATTCTAATGCAGGGAATTGGATGTCCTTTTGCGGCAGCATACTTGTTTTAATCTTCATTCAAGTGCTACGACTCTTGGATCTTTGTCTAGATTGGTATGTTGGGGGCATTGATAACCACATTGATTCAGTTAGATGCTTTGTTATAATCTCATAAAATTCTTCCTTCAGGTTCAATCATTACCAAGGATGATTATCATAGAAGAGATAGGAAAGCAGGTCAGTTAGTAAAGATGTTTGCTTTTCTTTTGGGGGTATTACAAGAACCAAATATGTGCGCACTTATATTTGATCTTGGAGTTCAGAGTACTGTCTACTTGTTTTGCATCTTTTGAGGCTTCTTATTCTAAGATGCATTTTTCTTTCTCACCATTTCCAATTTGTCTGCATGATAATATTATTGTCAATTCAGAAGATGGACATGATCCTCCCAAAACAAACAAATGTGTTCTGTATTAGCAGGACTAATTCTGCATTCATCATCACAGCAGACAATCATTTTGTGTTCTATTTTAGGCTTTGTGGACAATTTGGTTTGGCCACTGTCATCCTTGTATGTAGTCTTTATTACCTCAATGTTGTCCCTTTGCACCTGGGTTAACAGGATAAAAATTGCATATTGTTTTTCACTGCATTGCCACTAGTTTTGAGATTTAGGCCATGTCTATAATGCGACTTTTCATTCAGTTAAAAGTTCAGTCTTTCTAGTTTATTCACATGAATGTGTTTTCTTGTCATCTTATGTTAATAGGATGCAGAAGAATTGACTGTGAACTCTATGACCTCATTGAACAGGTGAAGTTCTCTCTTGAATCAGCAAAATTAGCTCAACTCAATGCCACTCTTGGAGTTTATGATGCTTCAGCTGGTATGTGCCTAACTACTTTGCATGCCTAAGTTGTGGTTTTAAATGGAGATTTGCTGCCTGAATTTCAAATTATTGAGGAAACCCTAACTACCAGAAAACTCTTATCTTGTCAGTGTCCTCAAGGCAGGCACGATCTTTGGCAGAGGATGCCTTTTTCCATCCATCCATTATGTCTGTCAGCTACTACTCCTTTGAGCATTGTTTTGCTGTCTACTCGGTATGTTTGAAGGAACCTATGTTGTTACCAATTGTATGGTAGAATTTCTAGACTCATATTTGGTTATCAGCATGATTTGTTACCTTCATAGCTGTTAACCATTTTGCATGTATAGAAGCATAGAATTAGTTCAAAGAATTCATATTGAATTTTTTTTACTTTGCCCATCTAGCTTTCAGCACTCATTTTTATGTAATAGAATGTTTATAAATGCGAAAACTGATTGTCGAGGACGGCTTAAGTTGCTGCTAGATCTAATGCAGAATAACAACTATTCTCACATTAAATGTTCATTTCTTCTGTTTGAACAGCCTTTCTTCCTTCCAGTTTCAATTCATGTCCTTCTTGCTGCTTTAAGAGAATTGAAGAGATACAAGCAAGAAAATGCCAAGTACTTGCTATGGAAGGCTAATGCAAAGGTAGCATCTTAAGTCATTACGTAGTTTGACATGAAGAATGCTCCAGTAATCAGAGAAGTAGCTAAATGACACACGAAGGAATTTAGTCATCAAGGGGACTTGGCTTTGCTAGTTTGTGTACACCATCGGATGTTGTTTCTCATCGCACTTAAAATTTCTTGGACTAAAAATGGTGCCTGTTCATTATATCTATAGGATTCGTTCTCAAGTTTTGATTGATAAAGTATTGTATTGCTGTATGTGTTTTTGGTTGATCGTCCGCTTTCCCTTTTTTTTAGACATTTTGGGAGTGCATTGTGCAGGCCTTATGAAGAAGAAAATAGTCTTGCCTGTGAAAAAGTGAGGGGCACCAAAGAGTCGAGTTCTAAATGATTTTGGGCTGACCAAGCTGCTTTAACCCCACAAAGATAATCGTATTTCAGTTCAGTTGATTTGGAAAAGTGCAAGTAGCAAAGCAATTTCAGTCTCGAATGACAAGGGCAAGCTGCGTGGAGGAAACTAAAGCTAAAGTTATTGGTTGCTTCGACATCAAAATTGAGATAATTGCTTATTAAACTTGCACGCCTGGTCGGAGAATTGGAATAGCAGCGTACAACGGACGATTTGGATTGTATAGCAAGGCCTTAATACAAACCGAACTATCCAGCTCAAATCTTAGGAAACATCAATCTTTAGGTTTAAAAATTAAAATTTGCCTTTCAAAATCTTCTAAAGTGCTGATTCTAATAATTATAGTTTGTGCTCTTTCATAACTGGATTAAGCATTTCTTCAGAGACACTATTAAAGTATCCAAACACAAGTTTATAAAACATAAAATTTCATTGATCTAAATTTTCCTAGCACAAGTCAAAAAAAATTTAGAGACTACGGGAAAAAAACTACCTTCGGTGCAAGCTAAACAATTCATACTACCGAAGACGGGGGAAAAAAGACGATAGATAAAATTGATACATCCGGGCATATATAAACCAAAACAAAGCCTTGTTAATTGGACAGTGAAACCCAAATACATGCTGACACGCCATTTTCCTCCTTGGTGCTACCCTCTAGATTCCAAAGCTAGAAGTATTTTCTTTCTTGGGCCCTGATATCACCAATAAGCCAAAAACAAATTAAACAGAGAAATGACAGGAAGGAAAACGATGAAACCTATGCTTTAGAACACAACAAATTTTCATCCAACACAAGTGCCTTCCAATTTCTAGCATCCTACACATAAAATTCCCAGCCAAGTGGCATGCTATCAAACACCCCAAGTCACAAGAGAGTAGGTTGATGTTATCTTGGGTGAACAGTTAGTTTCACTTTAGTATTAAGAGTGCAAACAACGTGAAAACAAAAAATGGATACCTCATCATTTCCATATCTTGTGTGGCATAGTTCAAAACAAACATATCTATAAAGTTCGAAGTTTTTAATCAAATCCTTTTTAACCACCTGGTGGGACCAAAAGTAGTCCAAAGGTAAGGACTTTGAACCCATCATCCACCTCGCTATAGGACATAAGGAGAGAGAGAGAAGAAAAGAATAGAAATGTGTGGAACTAAACCAATTAAAAGGATCCAAATTCCATTTTGATTTTGTTTCTGTTTCATGTATTGTCAAAATTAAGAACTAATTAGATGAGTGCTTAACAGCTCATGGACCATAGCTGAAATCAGAAAGGCGACTTTTTTTTTTGAATCCAAAAAGAGCTTTTGCTTCCATGGCCCAAAAACTGCAGATCATCAAAAAAATTGACACACACACAACTATGTTCAAGTGTTTTGACCCACAAAAACTCAACTCTTAGTCTACTGATAATCAGGCAGGAGTGATCCAAATACCTGACAAAAGTTTTGACTTAACATCGAAAAGAAAATCTGGAACTTTCAGATGATAAATTAAAATTTTACACGGCCTTAGAGCATATCAAGAAAGGAAGGTCTCCTAACCCTTGATCAATATCAAGGGCCAAAAGAAATAGCTACATGAAAGAGCACCAAAAAAATGTATGCATGTCCAGTTCAAGAGGCCAGTATAAGTTTACCATTGGCACTCCCAAAGCCTTGAGGTCCTCATCAGTCATGTGTACAAGAGCTGTCATATCAACCTGCATAGAAAAAATAAAAGAAGTGTTCTGAAAGTAATGAACAGAGTCAAGGAAGCACATATATTCACAGCAAAAAATAAGGCATAGAACTTCCTTACTTCCTCAGCTTGAAAAGAAATGATATATTTTTCTAATCCTAATGACCGTAGGAAGCCTTCCATTGAAGCATCAGTCTGCAGCAGACATGTAGAACTCAGAAATAACAGAAGGAAGCTGCAACAGTGAAAGCATATTTGTACATGTGTGTGCATATTTTGGCACAAATGTGATAGTAGTACCCTTACAATTTATTGCTTTTTATGGGAAAAACGGTTCTCTCTCTGTCTCTCCTTCACACACATACATGCATACAGAGTAAGGCACAATGAGGGACGTGCAGACACAAACTCTTTTACAATAAAGTCACGACATGAGAAAATTTCAGAAACATATGCACAATCAAAAATGAACCAAGTGATCAAAGAATTGCATATCTGCCACAATTTTTATTTATCTATTTGTAATTTAGTAGAAAAGTTAAGCATCTATTTACAACTCAAGAAATGCTAGGAAATAGGAATGCTCCTTGAAAATCATTATTCTAATTGCTAACGTCATCTCTGGTTCTCACTCACAGCATCAGCTAGTCTTTTTCAAAATTATAAGTAATGTGGCCAAATTCAAAGTTTTAGTCCTCTATGTTGTTTGTCCTGTCTTTTTTTCAATCTTACAAACATGCTTTATAACACAAATCCCATTTTTTAGGCCAGAATTCAACCTAAATATAGAAAAATGTATCCAAAAGACCCCAGTAAAACATAAAAGAATATATGGCAGAACCCCATAGTTTGCTCAATGGCCGAATACATATTTCACCCCTCAACTTTGTATGGTATCTGAACTTTGCAATTTACCCATCATGCACCTCAACTTTATGCTCAACTATCATGCACCTCCACACTCAAAGAACGATTCATGAACTTCAAATGCAATAACGAGGCAATTAAAATGGACAAGTAATTGGTGACGCAGCAATCTTTACAGTAAAATATATACACACACAGAGACAGGTTCAGGTTTCCAATATAGAGATAAAGATAGAATTAAAAAAAAAAAAAAAAAAAATGCCACAACAATCATGCAAACTCCACAGCTCAAAGAACGATTCATGAACTTCAATGCAATAACGAGGCAATTAAAATGGAACAAGTAATTGGTGACGCAGCAATCTTTACGTAAAATATATACACACACAGAGACAGGTTCAGGTTTACAATATAGAAGATAAAGATAGAATTAAAAAAAAAAAAAAAAAAAAAAAGAAAAAAGAAAAACAAAAGATGAAGAATATTCATAGAAACACAGAAACACAGCTAATTAATAGTTGATTTTTTCAGACAAACAGGTTGTGATAAATCATTAAATAAAATCCCAGCAGATATTGATGAAGTGGTTGATTTTTTTTATATGCAAATAAATTATGTAACAAAAGAACAGGGTGCCATGAAAATTAAAAAGACTTATAACCAAAAAAATGCCAAAAAACAGTGGAAGAGAAGGTTCTAGAATGGAATGGTTCAGCAACAAGAGAGGATTCACCTAGTGTTTCAAACTTATCCAGCTTCTTGAAGAGAAAATTAAAAATTCAGTTTGTTAACTTGTGTGATCGAAAAAAAAAAAAAAAAATTGAAGAACTTTGATTCTATGAGAACAGAGAAAGCAAACTTTAATTATATGAAATCAAACACTGATTATATGAAAGGAAACTTCAATTCCATTGAGAAATCGAACCCTAAGCACTAACTTTTAGGATTCAGATATTAGATCGAATGAATAGGTTTGAGAGAGAGAGAAATAGGTATTGGAGATGCAAAAGCGACATCGTTGCCGACACATCAGATAAAAAAACATGTCTTCACCCTCCTCTAAGTTCAATATCACGTTCCACCTTTCCAGAATGGCAAGGTGTATATTAGTTGCAGAAAAATTAAAGTTGAGGTACATAATGAGTCATTCGTAAAGTTCCGGGTGCCATACGGTTAAAGTAACAAACTTATAGGGTGAAATTATGTATTCGGCCTTTTCTTTTCCCAATAGTTCTATGGTTAAGGTAGCACATAAAACGCACAATATAGAAGATGCATGCCCAAGGTTGCTTCTCACATATAGAAAGTTGATACATACCTTTTGCTGAGATTTTTGTCTAGTAGCCACGTTAGCAACTTTTTTAATCTCTGGTTCAGGAGCTTCAACTGCAACACTTCTCCTAGCTGGTTTAGCAGTTTCCAATTTTCGTTTTGGTGGATCAGCATTCACTGGTTGTGAGTTCATAGTCCCAGAAAGCTTTTCGCGTAAATCCCGTGTGCCTGAAACTGACCCCTTTACAGTTTGAGATGCCTGTGGCAGACTTTTCCTTTGAAGCTTCAGCCGAAGATCTTGAGCACTGACTTTACGATCTTCACAAGCCATTAACAAAAAATCAATTACTAAATATAGTTGATTTAGTTGCATCCAACAATAGCAGCAAATTTTTAGTTGCCTGTGCCATACATGAAGCATGTGGTTCGTCATCCTCATACAGATCATGTTCCCACTTATCATCTTGTCTCTGCCTGCAAAACATATGGAATCAACTAGGTACCAGAGTTTGGACATCATAAGACGAGCACTAAATGATAAGAAACAAATGCCCAATTTAGAAGAGAGTTAAAGAGGAATGCTATGAGACAGATTTAACAGCCAAAAGAAAAATTTGCATTCTTGTAAGTTATATCCCAAAAACAAATGCCTAAAATTGAAAGGAAGATATTAAAAAATATGCAAAGTGTAAAAAGCAAACTATCCTGGTCCTCTACATGTATTCAGCAAAACTTCTGAAAGAATTTACTTCCCTATTTTCTGATGATCTCCATCTCCAATCCATGGCATTAAATGAATGTTACGCAAGTAGGGATACAAGAGGACAGGTAGCCACTAATTTTCAACTACCCATGCCCAAACTTGTTTCAAATTTTAATGTCATAATTGTCCCAAACCCATTTAAAATTACTTTATAAATACCCAAACCTGAACTCGTTAATAATTTTACTACCCTTTACCGTCCCAATCCTGTTTAGAATACTCCTTTAAGTAGGTAAGATACCTGTTAACCTTGAACTACCTAAACCCCCTATAAAATACCACTTTCACTATCCATATATCCATCCTAAACCGATTAGTACTACATGTTCACTAACTGACTAAAATCCATTTAATATTAAATGAAACAAGAAAAAAATCTTAAAAAACAAAAAATAAATTTCAAATTAAGAAAATTCCATAGAAAAACTACTAAAATCTAAAAAAAAAAAAAAAAAAAAAATAAAAAAAAAAAAAAAAAAAAAAATCATCTTAACGACATCCATATATGAAAAAAAAAAAAAAAAAAAAAAAATCATCTTAACGACATCCATATATGAATTAAAAATCCATCATAATAAAATTCAAACCTGTTTGAATAAACCTGATCCAAACTCTTGACAGATTATAAATTTAACACTCATATCTATTCCAAACCTATTTACTAATACTCAAACCCGCTTTAAACAAGTTGGGGCGGATTGGGCACGCCATAAAACCTGCCTTCCATCAATAGATGCAACATGACAGGTAGTAAATCTATTTTTAAGCAATAGACCTTATAAGTGAAAAAATTAATGGCCAAAAAGGCAAATGACAAGCAATATAAGAATGTCAAGTACTTATAAACTAATGTTCAGGCAGATGCTTGTACCCAGTAGCATTCTTTAAATATAGATTCTCTATGGACATATCAAGAAGAGAAACTTAATTTGCCTCGATAAAATACACCCAAATTGAAAAGAGGAGAATTCTGTTAGTTAACAAAATTGAGAAAGACAAAAAAACCACTAAAATCAAGCTTCAATCAACCATGCCAAAAATGACAACCCAAACAAAGCATAACTACTCCAAAATTGCTATAAAGAGAATCAGCACAAAGAGAATAAAAGGTAACGAAAGCGATTTCCGAAAATACAGAATGCAAAAAGAAAAATAAAAATTAAAAGCAAAAAGGAAAGAAAACCTTTTGCCAGTAATTTGTCGCCGGCGAGTAGAATCGTCGATAGAATTTCCGTTGAGGCGCTCCTTTACAGACCTCTTGGCAGCAGCCTCCACGCGATCAGCATACATGTTATCAAATTTGTTAAACCCTAACCCTACCCCTAATTTAAATGCGGTAAAATCGCAATTGAACTTGCGCGGCTTTTGGAGCAGAAGGCGGTGAAAGATCAAAGCCCTAACCCTTCATTTTCAGAGGAGTTGAGGCAAAGTAATGGGGTTTATTTGAATCCTGGCAATTACAGAGCCTGGCTCGTGCTAACAAATAGCAAGGGAAGGGACTGACTTGTAATTTTGGAATATATCCAATAAATAATTAACAAAAAAAAAAATGTATTAAAAAATATTTTTCAGTCTCAAAATATTGCATTCAAAATACAGATCGCAAGTAATGAACCAATAAAAAAGGGTAATGCAAAAATTGCTCCAATGGGATTGAAAAAAAATTATATCTTTTATGTATCAATAATAGTTTTCTATCAATAGATAATGTTGTATAAAATTTCTTTAAATATTTTTCTCGTTTAATTTGAAAAATAAGTTGTTATTGTCTGAATATTAATTTCAGTAAGAAAATTTCAATTGATGTTGTTTTTCTTATTTCTCTTCTTTTTTTAAAATATTTTTCTGATTTCTCTTATTAGAATATTATGATGCATTTATATTACATTATCTAAAAATAAATTAGAATTTTCTTCTAAAATTTCGAAAAAGTAATAAATGAGAAATTTAATTTTTTTTATTAATTAATTTAACAATTACTATTTAAGACTTTGGGATTTAAAACAATTTTTAATATCGTGGAGTTAAAGTTAACTGTTAATCTATCTATCTACATAATCGAGAAGCAAAAAATTAAGTTCAACGAGTTTTCCTCTTTCAATATCCATACTTATATTTTTTTTACAAAATTTTACTATGCAAATTTTTGAATGAATATTTATTTATCTTTATTTCTTATAATACTCTTGACATAATAATTTAATAAAAATAAAAAATAAATACCAATTATATTTATTATATATAACAAACTTTGGATTTCCAGATGAATTTTATAAAATGTTATAGAAGTCATTTGCTCCAAACAGGCTATAAGTATCGTGAAATTCTTGGGAACAAGGAGAATATTTTTTTTTTTTTTTTTTTTTTATAAATTAAAAATCTGAAAATTATTATATTTACGGGGTTAATAAAAATTTATTATTATATATCATGCAAACGTTTGCTTTTTTTTTTTTTTTTTTTGTTATAAATAAAATCTGAAAATATATTATATTTTACGGTTAATAAAAAATTTATTATTATATATCATGCAAACGTTGCCATTGATTCTCACTCGTTATATATTTGTAAACTGGAGTTCCCCACGATTTTTTACAATAGCAAAACTAATTAAACATTGGAAAATCAAGTTTCCATACTAATCAAGCATACGACACGACGTTTTAAGTTCTCATTTGTTTCTGATGATGGGAAAGTGATTTCCTGTCATTTTACAGGCCAGAGGAAAAAGTTTCTCTTAATTTGAAAATGATAGAAAAACTTTAAAGCCTGTTGTGGCTGACTGCAGGCAAGAGGGAAAAGTTTCCTTCACGGCATTGAAGAAACACAAATCTCTCATCTTAAATTAATTAAGTTAAAAATGGAAATTAAATTCCAGTAATTAATTCCTTGCTTAAATTTAAATGCTTAAGTTAACTATTATTAATTAATAAAAGTTATGTCAACAAAGTCTAAGTATTTTATGTGCATGTGAAATTAATTAAGTCTCTCATCTTGAATTAATTAAGTTAACATGAAAATTAATTTCCAGTAATAAATTCCTTTGCTTAAATATAAATGCTTCAGTTAACTACTAATTAATAAAATTTATGTCACCAAAGTCTACGTTTTTTCTATATTACATGCATAAAAAAACAACTTTTTGCACTTAGAAAGCAAATTAAGATCAAGCAAAACCCCCCAAAAAAGAAGAGAAAACAAAAGAAATGGAGAAGTTGAAGCTATTAGAGAAAGTTATGGTAGTACCAGAAAGACCTACAAACAGAAAAAGAATTTTCCTGTCAAACATAGATCTGTCTCTTGTTGTATACCAAGAATCTGTTTCATTTTTTGATCCTCCAAAAAATAAAAAGAGCTTTTCTGAATCTTGCAATAGCCTGTATAATGCACTAAGGCAATTGCTAGTGCCTTATGATTTTTTTGCAGGACGGCTCGTGACAGCACTAGAAAATGATAATCGGTTCCAGATTGAGTGTAATGGTGCTGGTGTTGTAGTTGCTGCTGCAAAAACTGACTCTGCTTTGATCCAACTCGGCGAGCTTTTAGAACCGAAGCCTGAATATAGGCAATTGGTTGCTTTCTTGCATGAAGAGGGTGAAGAAGAAATGAAAATCCAAGATAAGCCTCTTCTGTATTTGCAGGTTCTATTTAAAATGATCACATACATAGGCTTACAAACATGAAAACATACATAGGTTCTTTTTAATCTAACAATTCCGTTGTGATTTCAGTTGACAGAATTTGCATGTGGATGCCTAGCACTAGCTTCAAGGTACAACCATTGTGTCGTGGACGGTATTGCAGTTGGTGAGTTTCAGAAAAACTTAGCTGCCTTAACTCGAGGTGATCAAATAGTAATGCTACCAAATCCTGATCGAGCACTTTTCAAAGCCAGAAATCCGCCAGAAATTACTCATCCACACTATGAGTACTCCACCGTAGTTGCTGAAGCCATGAAAATGGAGACTGCTGACTTGTTCACGGTTTGTGGAACAACAGGAGTCAAGTCCATCAACAATTGCTCAACTTATAGTACCAAAACTAGAACTACTACTCGTTCAATCCATATATCTGCAAAACAAATTTCCATCTTGAAGAAGGCCGTTCTTCAAGATGGCAACTTGGAAAATTGCACTACTTTCCAAGTTGTGGCGGCGAAGATATGGAAAGCAAGAACTATTGCAGTTAAAATGAAAGAAGAGACAAATACTACGATGTTATTTCCCGTAAATGTTCGAAGAATTATTTCACCACCAGCACCAAGTGGGTTTGCTGGAAATGCATTGATTCCTGGATTTGCAAGGGTAAAAGTGAAGGAAGTGAAAGAAAGAGAGGTGTCTTATTTGGTTAAGAAAGTGCAAGAAGGTGTAAAGAGATTGGATGATGAGTATGTGAGATCTAGTATAGATTGGTTAGAGGTTTATAAAGGTGTGCCATGTAGAGAAAATAGCTTTTCTTTAGTGGCATGGTTTAGATTGGGATTAGAAGGAGAGGTGTTCTCTTGGGGGAAGATTAAATGTACTGCACCAGTTGTGGTTAAACCTGGTTTGGTTTTTCTTTTGCCTGGGACACTAGAGGAAGGTGGCATTCATGTTTGCCTAGAATTGCCTGATGAGGAAATGAATGAGTTTTGTAGATTACTGATGGAATAATCATCTGTTATATAAAATTAGTTTTTTTCCATAAGGCTTTTCTCTGGAGAGATTTGGGCTCAAGTTCGAGTTTTTCATCATTGACTATTTGATAAAACTAATGAATTAGGAAAGAGAATAAGTTATATGTGCCCAACTTGAATAGTCTAAACTGGTTTGATCTTCCAAGAAAGTAGAGAAATATAATAATACTCCAATGACCAACTTATTTCCACCCTCTTATGCAACCACTACCTCTAGTCCTAAAATCTCCACTTTGTTCTTTTAATTGGTATATACGAATTCATGAAACTTTTATATGATTCATTTATAAATTCTAACAGAATTGATAGAATTTGCAAATGAACTCTAAACTTAATAAGGATACAAGTTTTTAGAATCTATACAAATCCAAAATAAAGAGACCAGATAATATTATAAATTCATTTCCAAATGGTTTGTACAACATAATAGTCTTATACAACAACAGGGGAACCCAGTATAGGACGATAAGGAAATTTGTGAATACTGAATGTCTATGCTTTCTGTTTTTATTGATCATCAAGTTTTCCACCAAATTTACAGAATCCAGTCCTAACATGGCACAAATCATCACCTACTCGCAAGAGAGGAGACCAAAGAAGGGATTTGTTATTGCAGACCTTATTTCAGATCCTGCTGAGTTTAATACTGCTAAGTCAATCCTGTCGCGAGGAAGAAACAAGAATTTGCCCCCTTCAATTCTTTCAAATCCACAAAGTTCAAGAAACTCAATGCCTCCTTTTAATCTTCCAACTCTATCCTGTTGCCACATTAACGTGTAAATTTTTAGGATATACTTGCAAAAGATACAACTTAGGTTTAAATTAACAGCCTGCAAGTTAAAACTCTTTAATTTATCTTCTAGATTGTAGAAATTTAAAAACGTCTGACCCTGGAAGAATTAACCGATTGCAGTTTCCCATCAAATGGAGAAAACAAACTTTGATGGACTATAACATCTCAAAGCCAGGGAAATGGCTTTGTGAACATAATAAATCAGAGAACTGGACTTACCTGGAATATTGGATTGCTGATTCGGATTTTCCTGAATTTTTCTACATCAGGATTCTTCACAACATTTCCCACATAAATCAGAAGAGTTTGGAAGGCCCTTTGAACTGTAGCATCGTCATTCTAAAAAGCAAAAATGTTAAAGAACAGAAAAATGATAAACGCGAATATAAAGCTTGATACAAAAAAAAAAAAAAAAAATTGGAATATTGGAGTTGCTGCTTCGGATTGTTCCGTGAATTTTTTCTACATCAGGATTCTTCAGCAACATTCCCCACATAAATCAGAAGAGAGTTGGAGAGCCCTTTGAACTGTAGCATTCGTCTTCTAATAAGCACAAGAATGTTAAAGAACAGAAAAATGATAAAGCGCGATATTCAAGCTTGATACAAGAAAAAAAAAAAAAAAAAATGTGAAGAATAGCTCTGCAATAGACATGTTGCATACAATGGTAGTAATAAGCACGTTCGAAACTTCGGTGTAAACGGCATCAAGAAGTGACAATATTGCGTTAACTTGATCATTTACTATCGGAAGAATATACATTGATGAAAAAAAAAAAAAAAAAAATGTAAAATAGCTCGTAGAACATGTTGGTACAATTAGAATAGCACTTCGAACTCGTAAAGCAGCATCAAAAGTTGACAATATTGCTTTAACTTGATATTACTATCGGAAAAATATACATGATGACTGTCAAATTAGAAAGGCCATTAACCTTGTGATTGCGCCTGATAGACCTTAAACATTCCCTTAATTCCTCAGCCTTAGTAGCAGAATGAAAAAAGTTCTGCAACTTACATCAAGATGAAAGTGATCAAACCATGATTATCAGCTTCCGTCAGCAATAGGATAGATGATTTTTCATATATCAGATAAAAATCATTAAATGATACTAAACCTTTTTCTCCTTCACAACATATCTGGAAGGATTTATGGCTGTATGGCTAACTGATGGTGGCAAACCAAGCATCCGCCTTCTTTCTGCCTGAAGAAAAGAAACATTTTCCAAACATGACGTTGAGACAAAACCTTTCTGAAATTAATAAGGATCATGATCAATTATAAGCAATAGTTTTGTTGAATCCTTCAATGCAATTTACATAACTAGTACAAAGGATGGATTACTACCAGCTTTACCATGCTTATGAGTTTTTTAAGTGCATAAAAATGATTTAAATGCTTGTGACAGAGATCTTTTCTTTACCCTTGGATCTTTTCATAAGCTAAGTACCCCTAGACAGTTGCTTAATCTTGACTGCTTTCTCGTTTGACTAAATAAGAAAATCCTAGTGCTTCACTCTGCTTTTATTTATTGTATGCCTACAACTTTTATTTCAATTGATCTCTCTCTCTCTTTTTTCAATGTTTTATTCTTGGAATGGAAACTTTGATTAATCAATCACAAATTACACGGTTTTTCAGATGTTGAGAGGCAGAAAACAGAAAGTATTTATTGGAAATGGTAAAAACCTTGTCAGCTTCTAGTCTATGAAGAACTTTCTCTCTTGCCCTTTTCTCTTCCTCTTTTTCTGCTTTCCTCAAGGCTAAATAACTGGGAAAATTTTCAGAGGTTCAGATGGAGACTCAATTCAGGTAGTAAGAAAATATAAGCAAATTTATATAAGATTGTCATAAATAAACAAAAGATTATAAGCATACCGTTTTCTTTCGTTATCCTCAGCAATTCTCTTTGCCTCAAGGATTTGCTTACCTGCTCGAATCCTTTCCTAGAACAATGTCAGCAGCCAAATTATAAAACTAAAACCACTAGTGCACTAGCTAACGTCAAATGAAGCATTTAATCATGTTACTTTTGGCGAACGTATGAAAAGACGTATGTCAGCACTTTTTATGCTCTGTTTGTTAAATGTCTAAAGATGAGTGGAAGTGTTGACAGTTTGACAATACTGTGGCAATAGAAATAACTTGTGGTGAGAGTAGGATGGCAAATGTATTGAAGGATTTTCTTTTTTCTCTTTACTTTTTTTGAGCTATAAAAGCAATGAACGGTTTAGTGCAAGAAGCAAAAGCAATTTTAACAACAAAGGTGGACCAAGTTTTACAGGAAGAAGAAACCAGCAACCTGAATATACTCACCTTCTCCCTTTCCCTTTCTAGTTTCTTTTCTTCGTCTTCCTTCCTCTTGCGAGCTTGATCCCTAAAAGTGAATAACAATGAAGAAAATATATTAAAGTGAGCAACACAAGACAGTAGAAAAGGCTATATATCAAGATGGATGAAACCAAAAGTTCAAGGATCAAGATGCAGAAATAACAGGGAAAAAGTTTGTGTTTGATAATTGATAGCAATCGCATCAAGGCTTTGTTTTCTTTGAAGAACAAACCTCAATTCTTGCACTTTATTCTGCGTTTCCTCGTTAGTTTGAGATGGTTGAGGAGACTCAATATCAATGTTCACTGCTATCTGGGTTTAATTGAACAGATGAGACAAGTCAGTCCTGACAAAATGCACAACACCAAGTTTGAATTTTTCAATTCTCAAATTCATCGTGTACTTCCATTTGCCTAATAAATTTTCTCTTCCCATAATTTAACCAAAATGTGATATAAAGTGCAAAAAAATCAAGGCAAATTGTAATGTTCTTATTTCTAGAAAAAAAACCACGAAATGTGCAGAATTTTCTCACTGTTAATGCCCCAGAAATTTTGACCAAATTTAGCAAGTGTAGAGCTTTACTCAAAGCAACTGACAGAATATAATACTTCCCACCTAAAGTCAGAATCATAGTTTTATCGACCTGCTAATCAGGTCCATCAAGTAGACAATTCTACATCAACCTTCTAAAATAATTTTCGAAACTAGGATAAAACAGAAAAGAGAGAAATAAAAATATCGTACTTTTTTTTTATACAAGCACACCTCACATCAATGCTGCTTTGATATCTAACCGAAAGAAATTATATTGAGTTTCAAGATGAAAAATATACTTCTCATACCAAGGGTGGCAGTTGGTCGATGTCTGGATCGTTGTCATGATCAATGATCCAATTTATGGCAGCCTCAAGGCTAGTATTGCCTGAAGAACAAAAAATTGCATGTTCTCAAGCATGGACAAAGCACAGGACTAGCAAATAATCTCTGTATTACATATAATAAGAGTTACCTTTCAAATCCTGAACTGAACTACACTCAATCACATTATTCATTCACATTGTTTTAGAGAACAACATAGCCATCAGCTTTTAAGTATGAAATAACTCCTAGCTTTAACATGTAACCATTGTACTAAACAAATATAACCCACGTATATTATATATATTGGCTTGCCTGAATAATGAAGTGCCTTAGCTGCCCGCGCACGTGGGAATCCCATGTCTTCAATTTCCCCAAGCAATTGCTTGTTCACTTCCAATGCATCCATCTCTGTAAACTCTGAAACTTCAATAGAAGTAAAAATACATACTTGGGATAGTCAATTGCAGACAAAAAATATCACAAAATTCAACAAAAGGGCATTAAATTTGTTTCTTAGATATCAAAGCAAACAATATAATTACGAAAATGAAGTCATACACTGTTGTTCTTGTTGGGGTTAGAATGAAGACTGAATAATGAGATTGAGAGAGTTGATGAAGTGGATTGGAAACTGAGATAAGAAGAGAGGTATAAATGGCGCAGTGGGAAAACAGAGAGAAGCCCTGAAATGTACGCCATTTCAAGTCCAGAAACTGGACTTTCCTTTCAATTTTCAGATTCTTTCCAGATTCCAATAATGGAAACTGCTACCATTTTCTCTTTTCTGTTTCATTTTATACGTTTTGCTTTCTCCCTCTCCACGAAAAGAACCTACATTTTACAACTGAGCCATTTGTGTGTCGTTCACAATTGGGCCTTGAACAACAAATTCGAATCCTACGAACAACAAGGGCCCAATCAAGTATCAACATAATTGTCGTTTGTTTGGATCGATGGAATTTCACATCTCCTTATTTATTTGGCTAGAAAATTAAATTGCATTATGAATAAAATAATTATAAAATTAAGAATTACCATTTCTAAAGTAAAAAAAAAAAAATTTCTCTTCTCAGCTTATTTTTTATTAAACCAAATAAAACAATTTAATAAATTTATGAAATATTGAAATTGTTCTCACAAATTCTATTTATACATATAACTGTTATTGTTTTGGATTATAAAGCACTTATTCATGAAATTCATAAATTATGAATTATATTTCAGGATATTCATCTTTACTTTTATAAATCATAAAATTATATTTTCATCTTTACTTTTTATTCGTGAAAGTATAATAAAATATAGACAAAATTGTAAATTTTAGTATTTTTCACCAATTTCTTTCTAAATTGGAGAGAAAATGTCGTGTGCAGCACAACATTTATTTTCCATCTATATTTTCTTCATTCCCAAACTGTTGAAGAAAAGAAAATTTATCTATTTTCCTTATTAATTCACATTCCTCCCATATTTTTCACCAATTCAAACATATATTTAAAAATTAACTTATCGAGACTCAATTTATAGATTTATTTATCGATCAAACCAATAAAAAAAAATTTTTTATTAAAACAAAGTATTTATAATCATTCATTAAAAAAATAATTTTTTAAAAATTCCTATTTCCATCTAAAGTGGAGAGGCTTATTTCAACACTTGACCAAAACTTAAACAACAATCAAAATCTAATTAATTGGAAAAAAAAAAAATTTCCCTTCAAAGAATTGTTAATTATCAAAGCCCAAGCCCATTTATTATTAATGGTTTAATGGTTAAATTTATAAGCAATACCATAGTTGCAAGGAGCTTTGAGACACTTCCAGAGACCGTTGGAGACTATGAGGACGTACTCACAGTCTTGCACTTAAACAGAAACATTGATCGCTTGATAGACTGTAATAGAGCTCTAGATAGAGATGTCAGGGAGCGACAAGCCAAGAACTGTGAAGTTACTTTGCCCTTCATTATCGCAAACAGTGGCTTTCGCGGCATGGGATGACCAGAAACTGGACTTGGGTTCGATAGCGAGAGCATTTGGATTAGAACCATCAACGTTGAAGCTGAATGGTCATTTTATTAGTAGAGGGATTGATCTTGTTTCCTCCTCTGTTACATGGAGATCTCTTCTTAACTTCTTTTCTGCTAAAGGCTTGTCTACTGGTAGAGATGATAAGGACGCACTTCTTGTTGATGGCAAACTCAGTAAATCTGGAACTAAGCGTATGTTCTTGGTTTCTGGTTTCTTTGGTTGTTAGAATGTTTCTTGTTCTGCTTGGTTCCTGAGAATTCTATGGAAAAAAAAGAAACAAAAATCTTAATGACTGTGGTTAATCTTTTGATTTCTTTGATTTTACATTTCTATTTCGTTCTGTTTGGTTGCTAAGAAATTGTGAGGAAAAACAGAACTTTTGTTTTCTTTTCACTTCTTATTTTCTTTGGAAATTTATTTAATTGAGGGCTTGCTTAAAGAAATCGCAGAATTCTTATTTTTGAAGTATATTTGCTTTTCTTTTTATTTTTTCCTTCTTCTGTACCAGAAAAAAAAAAAAAAAAAAAAAAAATTCTGTACGCAGGAAAAAAAAGAAAAAAAAAAAAAAAAAAGGCATTATTATGGTTTTAAAAAGCCCAGTTGAAGAAAATGAAGCATCGGCAATTGTTCATTGAACAATTGATTGAATTCTTGGAATTTTCGCAGGAGGACGAATGACGCCTGCTAAGATGAATGCTTGACTGGTTATTTAGGGATTGTTGAAACAGAACTGAACGAGGAGAAAGCTAAGTGAACTGCAATAAGAGTTTAAAGAAAAATAATCTATTCAGGTAAAAAAGTCTGAGATTTCGTATGGATAATGTTCTGGTTTTAACATGAAGGATTTGAAATGAGTGCTGTGGTTATCGAAAGAAAGCGCTGTTTATATTTTCCGCAGATTCCTAATTAATCTTTAGGAATCAAAGAAATGTGTGAAAAGGAGTGCGTTGTCCATTAGGAGATTTTTCTAGGTACAAAAAAAAAAAAAAAAAAAAAAAAGCATTATTATGTTTTAAGCCCATGAAAAATGAAGCATCGCATTTCATGAACATTGATTGATTCTTGAATTTTCAGGAGGACATGACCCTCAAGATGATGCTACTGTTATTAGGGATTGTGACAGAACTGAACAGGAGAAAGCTAATGAACTGAATAAGAAGTTAAAGAAAAATAATTATTCAGGTAAAAATCTGAATTTCTATGGATAATTTCTTTTTACAAGGATTTGAAATGATCTTGGTTATCAAGAAACTGTTTATATTTTTCCCAGATTCCTAATTAATCTTTAGGAATCAAGAAATTTAAAGGAGTGGTTGTCCATTAGGAGATTTTTCTAGGTACTTAACAATTTGATATATATCTGTGGTTATCAAGGATTTGGGGATGGAGACCACGGTTTCAAGAGGAAGCAATTATTGGAAGATGTCAGTTTATTCAAGAAGTTAAAGATAAATGAAACAGATTCAGGTAAATTCGCCTATTCCGCATGCTTCCTTTTGTTCTGCAACTAGACGGACTTTTTGAACATATAATAATGAGATTTAGGTTGTTATTATTCTGTTTAATCATTTCAATCTTACTATTGTTGTGATTGCATTATAGTTGTTGAAGCTGTCACTTAACTTAGCATTAAGGATTAACACATTTTTGTCTGCTTTTTAGTTAAAGAACTTGGAGACAAAGGAAAGAACTACCTTGGTACAATTTCAAGCAGCAAATTGAAATGCAGCTACATAAGCAACGACATGAAACGGAGGAGAGAAGATGAGGTGATCCTGACTGCTCCTTGCAAAAGAATAAGAATTATAAGATGAAATTAGCATTAGTTACATTTTTTTCTTTTACAAAAAATCATTTTCTTCAAAATGGGAACTTTTGCTTCTTACAGATAAAATGTGAAAGGAGCAATCTGAAAGTTTGTAAATCTTGTAATATGGAACTCACATGCATATGTTAAATGGAATAGCCTCATGATTGGTTCTCTTCTTCACAGTTGAGACAAGCAGTTACAATAATTCAAGCAGAGAATGTTCTATGTGCTGTTGGGAAATTGCTACCTCGTTCCTCTGTTTTCTTTTCATGATAAACAGAAATCTTTTTCCCCTTCCCAAATCAGGTTCCTGTAAGGTAAACTATTGAAAAATGTCTCAAGTTGCTAATTGATCAAGATTCAAGGCACGACCATGGTTCTAGAACAGATTTAAAACTGAATTGGTCAAAACTAACACTAATAGTGGTACATCTGCTGATGTTCATCGGTCTTTGTTGCGCAAAAAATGATCAAGAAAAGACGATCATATCATTGTTAGGCAGGTGGCTAGTGAACTCGAGACATGGGGATAAGTTAACCAAATACAAGTCACTCGATGGATTTCAAACAGGTTGACTACTATCAAAATGATACAAAATTGGGTTACAAACGAAAGTCGCCTGGTTTAGTGGTAGAAACAATGTTTCCAACGATCCCTATATCGAGTATGCTCTCTTCTCTCCTATATTTTACACTGAAGTTGTTAATTCAGCATTAATAACATCATCCATAATAGTATTGCCAAGCTATAGCAAACACAACCACCAGCAAGACTTTCAACAATAATTTGGAGTTAACCAAAGGCGACGAATTCGTTGTTGACTTGGGGGTTTCAGGAGTTTCCGGTACTCTTCCTCTTAGCTTAGCAAGCAGTTTCGAAAGCAGCTCAGGAAACCGACCAGTTTTCTTGTCAGCTGTAAGCAGAAGAACAACAAAAAAGCAAATGTCAATAGCACCGAAAATGAGAAATTCACTCTAATGAAACGTAATGTTGGATTCTCAAATTAGTAAGTATTTTGAGAAAACAATGATGATAGCTGTCATTAGTTACAAGATCCCCCACCTGATGATGGCATTCAACCAAATAATTCAAAATTTGCACTCTCTCTCTAACATCAAGATTGTCAAGCTAGAAATCTAAGAGAAGGTACCCATAGACTGTTCAAAAGACAACTTGTCTGAGATAAAATTATTACCTTTGCTTTTAAGAAGTCTTTCCTCCTCACGAACACGCCTTCGGAGAACATTTAGCAATGATCCGAAATACAGTGCAAAAATGGTGCATGTGATTGTGATGACATTGTATGGCATGCTAAAATCAGGAGTTGTCAAAGGTACAAGTAATACTTCTGTATAAGAGAGAACAGGATTCTTTTCCTGCATCACAAATTCAGAATCAATCAAAATCCAAAATGAACCACATTGAAAACCAACAATTCAGGAGGTAACTACCTGAAATTTAGACAACATGGGTGGCTTGTCCAGAGAACCATTGCAAGGAAAGAGTAAGCTGGTATAGAAGTTGGGAAAGCTTATTGTAGCTGATGGAATATCAAATCCTTGATTAGCATCCGGAGGATATTCATCAATGTGTAGAAAACCCTATGGAGACATCATGAAGATATAAATGAGAAACTGAGTGCCAATGAAGTTCCGTTGTGTAAAAAGCATTATGGTTATAGACAACGGAATTAAAGTATAGACTTTTAGCAATATAGTTTTTTCAACTAGACATTATTATTAGTAATAGCATATAATTTTCCATTATAGTACTATATTTTCACTTTAAGTTCCAACTGGACACCACTGCATTACCAAGGTTCAGTATCATGAAGAATTTGTATCACTTTGATTGGGCCCTATGTTCATAGACAATGCATTAGCAGAATGCACATCAAAGACAGCAAGGGATCCTCTGCAAGGACGAAGCCAGGATTCTTTAGTTGAAAGCTAAAGCTGATTGCTACCACAATGCATTTCTAAGAGCATAGAAAAATGGGAGACCCAGTGCACAAAGCAACTCACATTATGTGGGCTCTACGAAGGTTGATGTATGCAGCCTTCCTCCTACTTTTCTGGAGAGAGGCCGTTTCCATAGTAAAATAAGAATTACTAAAATCTAGCAGAGTAACCATATTAAAAGTCGGTTCCAATTTACAGATTGAAGACAAGTCACCATATTGAAATCAGTGATAAGCTCAATGACTATGGTTCAAATTAGACTCTTGTGTATTAAATGAATTATGAATACGTGCCTTAGATCCTAAATAAATCCAAACAATATGTCTTGATTTACAAGTTACAAATAAATACCTACAACTTAAAAATATTATGAATATGTGCAGCATACTGTATGCAACAAGTTGCATTCACTTATCAAAATATTTAACTGAAACCTAACTTTCTTTCCAACCACAAAAGGAAGGAGAAGGGAAGCTATGCTACTGATTTCATGGATTTGGCATCTCAGGTTTTCAATCTGTTGTGTATTTTCTTAACCTTAATTCTGAATCAACAAATTCAAAGTCAAAGCTGAAAATAGAGTGCCTTTTGCATACCTTATCAAACTCTAATGTTAAAGCAGCTGATTTCACATTGCAAGGAAATTGCAAAACCATCTCCATCACCCCAGGTGATACCTTGTCTTTGGAAGGTGACACATGAATCTTCTCTATAAAATCTCCAACTGCCTTCTGCTGGCCATTAACAAATAACTGAAGGGTATGGTAATATACCTTAACATACCAAGGCACAACTTGGAACACATCAACCTGCAGCTTATAACCATCACTAGTGCTACAAGTGTCCAAAGAAGCATCATTTAGCTCTGTAGATTGCAACAAGATAGCAATTGCACCCCTTTCATTTCCACTTCCCATCAAGAACCTACTAGCGCGTAATGGCGCAGATTCACATGACCAAGTTACAGGAGATTTCCATATAAGGCTGAGATCAAAAGGCTGTGAAGAACTGTATTTATGAACTGAAAACTCATAAAGGACCGATGAGCCCTTTTTGTGCCTATTATTCTCTTCTTCATACACCCTATCTGGGCTAACTGACAATTCAAAACCAGGTCCAGTCCAAAACCCTCCAGAAGGTACATTGTCAGCCCCATTATTCTCATTTTTCTCTAGTTCAGCAATGAGACCTCTCTCGAGCTGGAGGTATACGTTACTAGACTTGGCAAGAACACATCTTCCACTGACTTTCCTTCCAAATATTGAACTCAAAGACCAATTAGGTTGAAAATTCTTTTCACTAGAGTAAGTCACACTAGTTCTCTGATTATGAGGCTGGAGAACAACAGTGAGCATTTGTTCTAGAACAATGCCTGAATTTATACCATGTGGACCAGATTTATTAGAGGTCAAATGCAATCGCTGAGAATGATAAAAACCATTATAAATTGATGGTCTGTCCATTAATGCAGAAAGCCCCGCTTTGTCTCTACAAGGAAGGAGCTTCAACCATGGAGTTAGGTTCTCAGTGCAAACAGCTTCACGGGGCAACATACCATGCCTTATATTGCCTGAAGCTGTGCGGAAGCTCCATTGAGGAGCTGAATACATAGTAGAGGACTCAAGAAAATTAATTGAAGCACAGAAAAGACCTGAAAGAGTGTGAGTTAAATTCTTCCAAGCAGCATCAACTTGGTCTTCAGGGACATCAAAGACAGCCCACAACTCAACTCCAACAGGCTTAGCATTGCTGCTCGAAATGGGGTCAAATCCACCCCAGCGTTCATAATTCCAACGACCTTGTGTGAAAGATAATTCCATTTCCTTAATCTGAAACTTCTGTACCTGTCCACGTAATGCTATCCCACAAGTTATATACTATGCCAATCCCAAGATACCATAAACATGCTTTCAAATTCAATGATTGATTTATAGCACAATCTATATAGGATCAAGTCATCGAAACATGATTGAAAATGGTTCAATAGAAGAGAGGTAGAGGGTTAAAGAAGAGGCCAAAATCCAAGCGTAAACTAAGGAAGCAAACATCCTAACTGATTCACGCTTTAAGCTAAAAAATACTTATAAGAAACAGAAGATGGGCAATTTGAAAGACCCATTTCTCGACATAACACTGAACTCTTTTCAAATTAAATGCACTAAAATCGCTCATAAATTATGCACGAAAAGTTAAATAATCGAGATCTCAAAAAATCGCTAACGCTACAGTGCAAAACTAATTACTTAAAAAGAAGTAAAGAAATCCAAATATAAACGTCTAATCAGTTCAGTAAACTTCCCTCAACAGAAATCAGTAAAAGTTTCTTTTTTTTAGCTCGAATTTTCTTGGCAACCAAACAAAAGAAGAAGTAAAAATAAATAGAGTACCAGCTGAGAAATGGCTTTGGGGAAGAGGTGATGATGGCGGCCATTGGAATTAGAGGGAGGAGCTGTGCTTTCGAAGTGGAAATGAGCCAATAGTTTCCGATCAGGTAACGGCCTCAGCAACAGTTCCTCATAAAATTCTTCTTCTTTTTCTTCTATGGCGGATCCAAAGGCGATTGAATTAGGGAAGAATTTGGATACAACTATTAGAAAGAGTATCAGAGTAGATTTTAAAGGAAGCGCCATTGAAATTGATTGGCCGTTTAGTGTTCTGTATTATATGAGAGACGTGGACCAGACCGCATCCACCATTAAAGACCTGACTACCTTTGATTTGGTTTGGAGCTCTCAAAACTCAAACAACTGAACTGACCAGTGCAGACTTTCGTCGAGATCATGGAGTTTCTCGGCGAGTGGTGGCTTTGGACTGCGGAGTGACCTGGCCGTTTAGGATTTGGGCTTTTGGGCCCTTTTTCTGTTGAGAAAAGCCCATTTGTTTGAGACCCCATATGTACATTTTTTATATGTTATTTATTTTTTTTGGGGGGGGGGGGGGGTAAACGGGCTGGCAGAGCCAACGAGTTTTCCTCATAAAAAGTTCTTTTCTTCTTTTTGCTTCTGATGGGCGGGTCCAGAAGGGCGAGTTGAATTGAAGGGAAGAGATGTTGGATAGCAACTATGAGAAAGAAGGTATCAGAGTAGATTTTTAAAGGAAGCGCGCATTGAATTGGATTGGCGCGTTTAGTGTTCTGTGTATTTGATATGAGAGGAGCGTGGGACCAGACCGCGCGAATCCACCATAAGGACCGTGACTACCGTTTGAGTTTGGGTTTGGGAGCTCCTCAAAAACTGCAAACACTGAACTGCACCAGGTGCAGACTTTTCGTCGAGATCATGGAGTTTGCTGCGGCGAGTGGGTGGCTTTTGGACTGCGGAGTTGGGACGTGGCGGCGTTTTAGGATTTGGGCTGTTTGGGCCCTGGTTTTCCTGTTGAAAGAAAAGCCCATTTGTTGAGAGACCGCCCATATGTCTTTTTTATTGATGTTATTTATTTTTTTTGGGGGGGGGGGGGGGGGTGTTAATAGATTAAGTTCCGAAAAAAAAAAGAAATTTTCTGATCAAAATTAAGCATACCGTTAATTTCACTGGCATACCTGGTTCTGGTCCGCTGAACTTGATGCACCGATGGTATATTTGGAGAGTAAATCTTCACGAAACACATTTAGGGTCCTCTAGGTATTTAGGGATTGTTACAAACAGTTTGGATGTAAATGGGAAAAGAATAATGAAAAATGACAGGTGAGATTAGAAAATTCTCTGCTCCAATTTGTATGCCTATAGTTGTTGGTTTAAAGAAAAATAAAAAATTTTATACAGTTTTTCAATCTCGCTATGTTATTTATAGGGGGGGGGGGGGGTTAATATTAATTCCAAAAAAAAAAGAAATTTCTGATCAAATTAAGCATACCTTAATTTCACTCATACTGTTCTGGTCCCTGAACTTATCACCGATGTATATTTGGAGATAAATCTTCACGAAACACATTTAGGTCCCTCTAGTATTTAGATTTTACAAACATTTGATTATGGAAAAATAATAAAAATGACACGTGAGATTAAAAATTCTCTCTCAATTTATCCTATATTTGGTTAAAGAAAAAAAAAATTTTATACAGTTTTTCAATCTCCTATGTTATTTATATCATCTTTCTGTTATCAAAATTTTTAAATTTGATATATAATTTTTATTGTCATACAATTAATGTTCAATTTGTTTTATGTTGTAAAAATAAAATTCAAGTATGTTAATGTGCACTTATTAATGATAAGTTCAAATTACCAAACATGTCTGGTCTATTTGGTCTTCTCATTAGTGTAAGAAGTGAGATATCTCGAATTCAAGTGGTTTTCATCAATTTGGTAAGTCAAAGAGAGGACTGTCCTTACTTGTAGTTTATCGTATTATTACAATCCATGAAAACTAGAGCCTCATAAAGAATAATAAGTTGGGGCTATGATATTAGAAAGTTATAAGAGAATATTAAAAGATGACAACACTATTACAATTGAGTGAGCTTTCATTTTTGGAGTCTCCAAATAATTTGAACTTATTTTCACAACAAAAACTCCAAAAGCATTATACTATTGAGAGCAAGCACTCTGGAGGAGTCACAGGAAATCTAGGCCTATCAAAACAGTAATCATAAGTAAGAAACTTGTTCCTCACATTCTCATATGCCCTTTGTTGAGCTAAGTCCAATTTCCAATATTTCTGCACATTCCACCAGTAATTTGGAGAAAGACATTGTTGGATTTTTGAGGAGCAACCACTAATGTCAAACCCTAGGAAATGAGCTTTAAATGGTGCATTACTCCAATTAGTCTTTGTTTGGCCTCCATCTGTAGCCCAACTATCTCCATCCCACAAGCTTGCCTCTACTTTCATTGGGTGTGATGGATAGCTTACTCCAAATTTTGTGTTGTTATTGAACACTCTTATGGGAATTTCATCCACAAAAAATCTGACAGTAGATCAATATATTAAAAACTAGTCAAAAAGCTAAAATCTACTTATAAAATTATTGTCGACATGGTTTAAATATTTGACTTAAGCATCAGAGTGATTGCAAACCAATTTTCCAACTCTTTTTCTTATAAATTTCAATGATCATGCATTATCAGAAAAGAGACATTGTCAAAAGTAAATATTTTTTTTAATGTCAACAAATAGCAAAAATATATAAAATTTAAAATGAAGTTCATGAAATTTTATGGTGTTCATGCATGTCACCCAACATAATCTAAGTTTCAAATGTGTATATTATATATGGTGAAGAGATAATGTATATAAAGGAAGAGAGATTGTTCTTACACAATTTGATGTTGGTTCCAAAGGATCCTGTAGCTGTGAAAATCTTTTGTAGGGTCAAACCAAAGATAAATCCTTTGCTCTCTATTACCTAAACCGTTTGCAAACACATTTGTTTGCAATGTGATTGGCTTTCCTTCTTTATTGCCCAAGAACTCAAAGTCTAGCTCATCATGATTATCACCTTGTGAAGTTAGCTGCCATTAAAACCTCACCCATCATTAGTATATATGCAATGCAATTTTCAATTTGTTCACAGGCAAACTAATGCTTCCCATACTAATTCTTTTTTCCTTTAAAAGTACATTAATATTTAATGGGATTGTTTAGCAAAATTAGTTTTTATGGTAGCTGTTAGCTATTTTTAATAACATTTAGTTATTTGAATAGTTGGTAGCTCTTTGATTAATTTTTCATAAAACGTTAAAAGTTAAGCATTACATAAGTTGACTCTTTATAAAACGCTACCTTAATCTATATAAGTTAATTCAAATGTTATGTTACCGAGCATTATTAAAAATAACATTTAGTTAAAACAATAAAAGCTACTTAAAAAACCGTTGCTGAACACATCCTATATATAATGTCTCGCACAAACCCACTCACATAGAAAGCAGTAACAACTCCTGCAGAATCATTTCCAGGTAGCTTTATCCTCAAATGAAAGAATCCAGAACCAAAACTTAGCTTGGATCCAAACCCAGCCCCTGCATGCATTAAAATTTCCCATAAACATTAAAATTTTAGAAAATTATTAGGCCAATTTCAAATTCAAAACTCTCATATATGTATAGGAAAGCATCAAAAGGATATCTAACTTGCTATATATATAAAAAAAAAAAAATCTATTTTTCAGTTATATATTCTAAACTCTAAATAGTACTTGGTATTTACTTAGTAACGGATTAATTTGCAATACTTATATATCATATAGGGTTTGCTTTTAGGTTTTATGTTGGAGGTTTTTCCGTTCTCATTGAAGAAATATTATTGAAATTTTTTGATTAATCTTAAGTCGGTCCAATTAAAGTACAGATTTTACAAGAATATATATAAATAAAAATATAACGAAGTTCTCACGAATGTAAAATAATAAGTCAGATAAGAAACCGTAATTAACAAGAGAATTTTAGAAAATGAAATTTTTTTTTAAGAATAAAATACATGTATGTATTCTATGAAAAATTATATAGAATTAGAGAATAAAAACCAGAATATTTGTCCATGGAAAGCTGAACTTGTCTGCCCTGGTGAAGTGACAAGACATGATCATAGCCCCAAGTAACTTCATAATTTTGATCAAAGCTAATATCACTTGTTCTCTTTGCAATCACCCCACCAATTAGGAGAAATGTAAGAACATATGGTAGACAAGAATAATCCATTTTAGGAAATTGCATTTCCTATGTATGATATTAATGATTTTTTGTATGTATTAATTTACTTTTCTCTTATTTGAATCAATCTGTGAACTTTTATATATATATATATATATAGATGGGTTTGTTAGATTTCCTATAAGAATAATGATAAAGCCAAATTATTATTATTATTATTTTTTTTTTTAAAAAAAAAAAAAGGTTGTTGGTTTAATGTAGGTTATCAACTTCTCCGCACGCTATTGATTTCTCCATGCTTCCTCATAACGAACTTCATCATTTATATTCTTTGTCTGGAAGTAACTTCAAGCAAAAAATTACCAGCACATTCTTATGAATTAGGGTTCTATTTTAATTTCGTTATTAGAAATAACATTTCTCAAATGCATTAGGTCGGTACCCAAAAAGAGATTTAGTTTTAGTGCACATAAGCTGGCTTGAGAATATTCTTAATAGTGCATACATTCTAAAAACAAATATATATATTTATTTTTCTTTTTTTAGTTCATACTATATAAATATATTTTTCTTCAATTTTCTTCATTTCTTTTCACTTTCCTTTCTTCCAAACAAAGTCTAAATTTAAACTCATTGTGCAATATGCAGTTATACCTAATTAGAACCGACCTAAATACAATCCATGCCTACGGTGAAGGGAAAGCATTTAATTTCTTTTTTGTATAATAAAAAAAGATCTATAAGTATTTTTAGGAAAAGAAAAATGACGTATCACATATATTAATCCTTCTTTTTTTGTACCTTTAAAATAGTTTATCAATTATATATATGTTTGAAGGATTCAGTTCCTTCTTTTAAAAAAACCAAACCATGGAACTAATATTAAATGATTTCTTTTTGAATCATCATATTAGCAGTATAAAATTAATTATATTCTTAATTTTGTTGTTTAAAATTAATTTATTTTGGATTAAAATTTTCAACTCAGTTAATATTTGATGGATGGGCATGCCATCGGTTAGTCTTTGAAGTTGTGCTGTTTTGCACGTATGTATTGTGATATAGATAAATTCTATTCCAGTAATGCTGGAAAAGCTAGATTTTGGAAATATTTTATTTAAATGTAGAAATTCAAAAGAGAACTAAGTCACTTGTCCTTATTTCAATTTGTCAAAAAGGCTAAGAAAGGAGTTGTAGACTCTCAAGTATTCTTCATCTTCTATGTATAAATTTATTTATTTCAATTTTTGAAGCAAAAGAAATGTTATGGACAATTTAGATTAAAGAAGACAACTTTGATCGTTTGACCTCATCTTTATTCTTCTTTTCGTATATATATATATATATATGTAAATGCACATAGGTACGTTAAAGAAAGAAACAATTTGCATTTGTCCGTTACATCAGTAAAAGTGGTCAGTACCTTCATGTAATATTTACCTATAAAATCATGAAAATATAAATTTTATTTTAAATGATGAACAAAGTGATATTATTACCTCATATATTTTACACATTTTACAAATTTTATTTTCAAAATGAAATCGAAGGTTCAAAACCATTCAGGCTAACATGCCTGCCATATATTTACAAATTACAACAAAGCTAGTTTCACACTGCACAGCTTGTTAATGTACAAGAACTTGTTAACCCAACAGGAGATATGGAGGAAAAAAAAATAAAATGCTGTGCCTTGAATCTTCATTGGATATACTTTCGGAACTAAATTTGCCAGTCCTTCCACCAATTAATGAATCAGAGATGTTCTCTATTCAAACAGATATTTAAAATTATCAAGTGTATATATACAGAAGACCTCCTGTAGTGACCAAAACAGGTACCGAAGACTAAATTCAGAGACGTGGGCATATTTCCATCTGCAATCGTTGCTTCTTAACACCAACCTGCATTTTGAAGAGAATCATAATACATATGAGAGGTCAAAAGAAGAAAATTGAATATCTAATATCCGATTGATTATTACAGCTATAAAGCTGCATGCATATATATGTGTGGGGCTCCCACGAGAGAAGCCGAGATTCAGAGTGCCCCTGACACATTGTGTATGCATAGTATGCACATATAATAGTCTAATTCAGCATTTTGCCCACTGCAATGTTCTATTCCCCAAAGAGGAAAAATGCCATTGTATTTCAATGGTTAGCTATATGTGGAGAATACAACTCAAAAAGAGAAAATAGTTTCCTGTTCTCATGTTATTCCCATGCCCACTACTTAAATTTTAAGAACTTGTTAAGGCTACAGATTGTAATTCCATTCTTCGTGCATTCTCATGAAAACCACCCAAGTATTCAGGATAACATAAAGGAAAGTGCAAGTACCTTATGAGGGCTCTCTAGTTGAGGCATTGGGTGATAAGTATAACGAAGAGGAGCTAATTGAAGAAGGTGAGGAGATTGCTGAAGGGCTGCTTTACAGTAGTTGTAAATGCTGCATATCAAAAACATTTGCTATGAGTATGACAACACAAACCTAAAATTTCAATGCCATCATACTCTATATATAGCGAAGTATAAATTAGTTTGCTATGCAATTTTTTTGAAGTCAAGAACAAAAAAAGTTCTTGGATGAAGCCAAATATTAACTTCAGATACTTCCAATGTGGAGAACATTCAACACTGACTTGAAAGTAAAAGCCGCCATTGGGACCAGCAACTTAAAAAGATAATCCCTCCCAAACTGAACATTTGGCAAGGTAATTACAGAATAATTCAATAAAAAGGAGCTTAGCAGAGAATGTCGAGTGGCTTTCCAAGGATAAAAGAACAAAAATGTTAAAAGACGAAACATGGTTACAACAAGACTGCACATTGCTGTCCAAGGAATAATTAATGTCAACTGCCCCTTATCAACTTTGGCCTATCAATTCAACATAATTGAATCTTACCTTCAAATTGACTTAATCAAACATTAAGTAATGAAGCTCTAACAGGGATGGAAGGATTGGAGAATTCAGGCACCCCATAAAACAAATAAATTTATAGTTATGAATCAAGTCACACAAATTCAACCTTCTTTTATTAAAAGGATAATAGATGTAAAAAACCTCCCATTTTAGCATATAAGAATTAGTTGTCCCACATCCATATTGAAGGTTACCTTTTCCTTCCATACAAATTTGTTTTTAAAGCAGTTATGATCTTATGTTGCTACAGCTACAGAAAAGAAAACACACTCAAGAACAAGCCAACTCTCCTGGCAACTTGCATTAGAGCTCATTTTGTTCCACATCAATTGTATGTTTTTATGTTCCTTGGGTAATATATGACAGCATTAACAAAAAGAAAAAGAAAAATGACTTCTGTACCTTAGCCTATGCCTGTTGCAGGAAGCAAGGAATGTGATAATACCACATATAATGTTTTTAAGGGATTGGAAGACCTATAAGACAATTTCAGTTCCAAATCAATGTTTGAACAGAAGATAAAGAAACTCAACATGAAAGGGTGTCATAACATATGCAAACCTTTTTGAAGAGATCTTTCCGAAGAGAACGCCAAATTGAGATGTCAGAAGTGCTAGGCTTCGATTTAGCAAAATGTATAAGCAGGCCCTTGCTATTACTTAACATCTTGAAGGCTTTTTCGAGCATATTATAGATGTTCAATAGTACCAAAGCCAGGAATTTTGCCAACAGAACACAGCATCGAGAAGGAACGAGGAGCAAGTCCCACACAAAATCAAAGAGTGAAAAAATGAATGTGACTGGATGCAAGGAAAATGTCAAAATTTAGATTCAATTGAAAAAATAATATAATAAAAAAGATAGATCATGTTCAACCAATTAAGTTAGAGCAAAATATGAACATAATCACAGATATAGAAACACACAAAGAAAAAACAAAACATCCATCCGTTTAAACAAGGGGAGTACAGAAGAGTATTTGTTACAAGATATTATGCCACATCTTTGCAAATGTTTAGAATGATAGACACCTAAAGTGCCAAGTGAAAGGTATTTATCATTATCAATAATATCATGACAAGAAATCTGGTGATGAACCCATTCAATTCACTGCCATACCTAACTGTAGGTACAATTTATCTCAAAATTATTTTCATATGATTTATCTAACAACAGGGTACACCATGTAAATAGTTTCCTGCCATTTCCTTAACCTTCTCTTTGGGAACATGAAGGATAGGGAGGAAAGAAAATGAAAAATTATCCTCTGGGTCTACATGGTCTCTATCTCTCCACTTTGGGAAGAAAATAGAAAAACAGTAGTGGGAAAATAAATGGATGAATCTTTCCTTTTGTTTTCCTCTCATCCCAACAAGAAAAGCCAAAGTGAGTTATTTCCCTCTCCACTTTTTACTCCGTCGTTTGTGTTTCAAACAGCTGTGAAAGAAGATACTCCAGAGACAGATAATTCAAGGAATTCCTTAGAAATACATATAAGAGCGAGCTAAAAATATAACACTTACATACAAGCTCACCAATAACTTCCTTAGAAATATATATAAGTAAAAGCTAAAAATATAACGCTTACATACAAGCTCACCAAGAACTTTCTGTTTATAATTTGCCGAGAATGCATGACCAATTGATCACAAAATGATGTTTTTGAATAAGGGATCATAACCCACTTTTGAAAATGAGGTCATAACTGAGAAAGGAAATAAAAGATGCACAAATTTACCTAAATTTAAAATAATCGAATACAGAAGCTCCAGTGGTGAGAATAAAACGTCAACCAAGTCCAATAACATGCTGCACAAAGGCTGCAACACAACCGTTGCAATCAAGTATACCTGCTCTCCTATTTCAGAAAAAATGCTCCCTATTGGTCTCATAAACTCTACCAGATGTGATAGTGGCTGAATCAAGGACCTTCTAAGTAGCAATGCTAGTAGCCCTATCACTTGTGTCTTCATCAGAAACCACTCAACTGCTTTCTCCAAATTCTGTAAGAACAACATTGTTCCAAGATACCTGATTCTTGAGATCATATCCCATGCTTCGATCCACTTGAAAAATGGCCAATAAAGGTGTGCCGCAGATGCCCGCAAGAGCGGAACATTCTTATAAAGGTCATAAAACCCAATAATCACAGTTATGGATGAGATTACAGCATAAAGGACCCTCAATAGAGGGCGCATCCAGGGACAGTATACTCTATTGAACAATGGATAGGATTGAAGAAATATAACCCAAGAGGGAAGGCCTGCCTCGAGCAAAGTAAGAAGCTTCAAATCAGAGGTAATTACTTGTCTTAATTTAGACGGAAGATCTCTATCATTGAACCTTAAAAGGAGAAGAGTATCCTTGTATTCTATAGGCTCAATTTTACCATCTTCCCATGGATTTTCTTTTATTTTCCCATGCATTGGCTGTTCCAGTTTGTAAACCGTACGAAACTTAATGTTTGGGTCACTAGTGTGCCCCATAGGCTCCACATTTCCATCCCGCGGATCTTCTTTTACTTTGCCATCCGTTGGCTCTTCCATTTTGCAATATATACCAAACTTATCATTTGTGTCAGCAGGGCATTCCCTGGCATCAAAGAACTCATCTTCAGAACATAGGTTGGCTTGTGTTTTAGAACCAACTGTGATTCCTCTAGGAAAAGAAACTTTGTTGAGCAAAAGGTTTAGACTTCTCCATAGTGTTTGTGCTTCAGTTGTAGTGCCTGAGAACCACAATGGAATACAGCTCAATGCTTGATTAATGCTGTTGAATTCCCATTTTCTCAGAGATTTCACTTCTAAAGCAAGGGATGTATCTGTCTGCGGAAAAAATATCCTATTGAATAGAAGGTAATAAACGGTAGATAAAAAGAATTCAAAGAATTGATACTGCTAAAGGGTAATATTTTGTTTCTACAGCCAAGCTATAAAAGTATGAGGTAAGTGTTGAAATATATTATCCAATCAATATAGAGAACCAAACCTCTATAAATGAATGTATAAAGTCCTTACATGCTTGCTCACATATTATGAAATGTTAGTAAAAATTTCATGCATGATTACCTGAAGCTCATTTAAATAGTTGATACCTCTCACATCTTTCCATGCAACTTCAAATACTATAAACCCGTGCAAAGCTTTGTACAAGCTCAACATAGCAAACAGTGCCCTTTCTCTAACACTGGGCACATTAACAATGGGCAACCACTTGCAATATTTATCACTTTCATGGCTGGAGGATTTATATCCTAAGCTTGGACACCTCAGCAAAGCTCTTGTATTTATAAAAGGTGACACCCTGCACTGTAGTTATCATCAAGAAGCACAATGGATCATGATCCAATACTGTATTGAATCAACAAATTGCCGAGAAACTATGGAAAAAGACAAACCTGTGTGATCATAAATTCCCTAATGCAATTTGCTCGCGAATCTTTGCTCATCCACCATGACTGATTGTCAACCAGGATAAAAAACTTATGGCTACTTGGAGCAAAATATAGGAAAGTCCGTGAAAGATAGGATTTTATGTCCCTGAACAAAGAACAAATTGTAAATAATTCAGATATGTATATGTGGATACATCTAGTTTGATGTCTCTAAATTTTATCTTTATAAATTACGCTTGAAAAAAGTTAACATATGGAACTATATATGCCTTAGCTTTTTGTTAAATTTTCCCATTTTGCAAAATCACATATAAGGATAGAATTTATAAAGGGAGTTCAATACTTGAAAATTTCACTTGATTAAATCTGAACCTAAAAGCCTGGAACCTTTCACCTACCCAACCTCACTCCATCCCTGTCCCACCTCAGCCTAGGAACATTTAAGCTGCATGAGGCTTGAAACCATATATATTCAATTAGAAGCCAAACATTGTAGATAAGTAAGTTACCAAAAACTTATCTGCAATATCATAAGTCCGGTTTGCACTGGAAACTGATAAGCATGAGAATCGATTATAATTCAAAACTTGCAAATAAAGGAGAGGAATTATAACCATTAAGCTACTAACCCAGTGGTGGAGTGTCTTATAGTACACATTATCAGGATTCAAACCCTAACAACCCTCCCATTTAAAAATTTCTAATATAGCAAAAGAAAATACAAATAAGAGTAATCATACAACCTACCAAAATTTCCCTGATGTGAACCTTCCCGTGATGAATTCTACATACCCACTAAAAGGAAGTAACTAATACCAGCTATGTACATTATACAACAATTATACGTGCACCAACGAAATACTAATTCTTACCCAATCTGCAAACTCGTCAAAGGATAAAAGTCAGGAAAAGACTCCATTTTCTTTCAGTCAGGTCGTTAATAAAAGCCTTCAATCTTCCCCAACCCTCCAAACTCCAAACTTTCGAGAGAATACTCCGGACATCTTTCCTAAGAAAGCCAACAATGAATTTCGAAAATCAACAATGAACACCATTAAAAGGAAAATCAGAAACAAAAATAATACCTAATTGGAAGAATCAAAGAAGTTCGATGAGGCTAACCTCTCTTTGTTTGCTTGGTTGGTAAGGTGAATGATTCAAGATGGTGAGAACAGAAGAGAAGAACGGCCGACGCTCGACTATGTGCCATTGGTGGCCTTTGCTTCGTTTCTGACCTCAAAAATCGGACCGAAATTTCGGCTCTGCAAGAGAAAATTTAGGCGCCAAAACAGTAATGGAGAAAAAGAATTTCTAAAAATCTAGCATGTATGATATTTTATTAACTAAATAAATATAAATATTAACAATATAAAAGGTAGTTAAACGAATTTTACTTATAAAATTAAAAATATAAGTGACATTTTCTAATTTTATACTATACAAAAATTATAATAACTTTACAGTTTAAATCTTGAAATTCATAATTTTTTACTCAAAAAACTTATAATAAATCAAATATAAGTTCAAAATTATAAATAAATAGTCTAAATCTTTAAAAATCAAATTTAATATAATTCTAATGTTTGGAGTATAATTAAAGTTGAAGCGACTAAAGTTGTTTCAAAAGCTTATTAATATGATTCAATTATATTTTTTTAGTTATTTTTTATACTCTCTATAAATGATGAAATATATATAACTGAATTCATTAAATAATTTTATTAAATAATTAAATAATAAATGAACTTTTGAAAAAGAAAATAAAAATACATTAAGGAGATGTATTGGCAATTTGGCACCACTAACTTAGGATAAGGACGAATCTAATTCAATTATCAAAATACAAATCCAGAAGTACACATTGTACTCGCTGCAGAAGCCATGATAGATGACTAACAAATATACCCCACGTTTCCTGATTTTCACTCATCCTCCACCGTAGATTCCCTTTTGTTCAATTTCAACCGTCAATTTCCGCCCTCCTTTTTATTTCCTTTTTTATTAACCACGATCAAATATTCTTAATTTCTAAACGTCGTTCTCTCTCGCTCTCCACGGAATCCAAACTTTTATCAAATTTAAATTATTCACGCGCCCTCTATGAGAACACTATCCCCTACTCCGCTCGTAAACTAGCATCGATACTCGCCGCATTCGACACGACACGTAAGGATTTTAAAGCTGAAAATTACTATTGTGCCACCCAACTAGAGCAGCCTCGAGTGGAGTCTTTGGTAAACGAGTATTTTATTAATTAATGGCGTATATATAACGCTTTGTAGCTTTCCCAAGGTGTGACGTCGTTAAGAGTATCCGTGAGCTTATTTCAATTGGCGAAGAACAAGTAGAAAACCTCATAATCTCCAACGCGCAGTGTTAAGCACTTAAAATATGTCTGCAACCGGTGGTAGTGCCGTCGGCAGCGGTGGCGGTGGTCAGGAGGAGGACAAGAAGCCGGTGGATCAGTCTGCACACATTAATCTCAAAGTCAAGGGCCAGGTATTCATACAAATCCATGTATTTTTTCTCTTATATTCCGTTTTTTTTTTTTTTTTTTTTTTTTTGGTCAGGAGGAGGACCAAAGAAAGGCCGGTGGCATCAGTCTGCACACATTAATCTCAAAGTCAAGGGCCATGTATTCATACAATCCATGTATCTTTCCTTATATTCCCGTTTTTTTTTTTTTTTTTTTGATTTTGTAGGTTTTTTAAGATTCGCTGGGTGAAATTGGAGTTAGAAATGCGATTTTTTTTGTATGTTTATTTATCTTTTTTGAACAGAAAAGAGCCTGTGAGTGGGGGTTTGGTGCATGCGATCAAAATTGAACTCTGTACCGTTTTTTTTTTTTTTTTTGATTTTGTAGGTTTTTTAGGATTCGCTGGGTGAAATTGGAGTTAGAATGCGATTTTTTTTTGTATGTTTATTTATCTTTTTGACAGAAAAGAGCTGTGAGTGGGGGTTTGTTGCATGCGATCAAAATTGAACTCTGTATGCGTTCTCAGTCATGATTTGTGATCATTGCTTTCTAATTAGGGGAGTTTAATTCTCTTTGTTGATAATGTAATAGTGGGTGAGATTGGTTGAATCGGGTATTAGTTTAGTAGTGTGTTTATTTATATGAGAAGAAGAAAAAGAAGAAGAAGAGGCAAGGAACTAGGAAGTGTTAAATATGGTATTGGAAACCATAAATTATGTATTGAAGTGGCACGTTATAATTTCTTACTGTTACTGTCATGTTCTTTTAGATCGTCGCCAAAGTTCATTTTAGTTCCACACCCCTAATCCCCAACCGGAAATAACGAAGTAAAGAAAAGAGAGAGTGGATTTAGGCTCGTTAATAGTCGTTAAGGTGGGTTTGCTTGGACGTGTCAGGGTTTGGATCTGTATGCTTAGATTACTAGAATTCCTGGAGCTGCAAAGTAAGTAATGGGATTTTAATGTCAAGAATATTATAGGCATTTTTTGAGTTGCCTGTTTCAGATTTTACTTGTCAATTGAATTCTGTTTGATGCAAGCACGGTTTAACAGTTTTGATCTTTTAGCTGTCGAATCTGGTGCCTTTATTGTGTAATTTAGTCTCTTTTGATTTGTTTGGTTGTAGGATGGCAACGAAATTTTTTTTCGGATCAAGCGGAGCACCCAGCTGCGGAAGCTGATGACTGCCTATTGTGACAGGCAATCAGTGGAATTCAACTCCATTGCATTTTTATTTGATGGGCGGAGACTGCGTGGAGAGCAGACTCCTGATGAGGTAAGGCTAAAAGTTTTTCTTCGTTTAAATGTTTTGTTAAAATTTGATTGTGCGTGGATTGCTGAATGAATTGATCTCTGTCTGCAAGCAAATTGCTGCTTTTGGAAAATCGGACACAATAAATTGAAACTTGTTTATTTGATAAAATTTTTACCACATAGTTTACCTATTGAAGTTTATTTCTGTATATCTGATTCTGGCCAGCTTGAGATGGAAGATGGTGATGAAATTGATGCAATGCTGCACCAAACTGGAGGTGGGAATGTCTACCCTTGAGGTGTTTGTCTCGCTAATTAGATATTTTGTAAACGCCACAGCAGGCAGAGCGGAAGAAAGGCTTTTCTTTAGCTATAGGAAAGCTAGTGTATATGAAATTGAAATGAGTGCAACGAGACTTTAAAAGAAAAAACGAGTAATATTCTGTGCAAGTTGTGTTGTCTGGCTTTATTATATTTATTTCTCATTTAAATGTATGGAAATGCATTCTGTTTCATCTGTTTCCAATGGTCTAAGTTTTTTTGCCTCTGGTATCTTCAAGATCATTAATTTGTGCACATGCTTCCCTGGCATATCAATCCTGTTCTGTGTTTAAGTTTTGAAATGGTTGAGAATGTTGTAACAAAATGTGATTGTATGTTTGATTGGTTGCTCGTGCAGAACCAAAAATTTGAGCTGTTCATTTAGAAATGCAAATTCATGGAAATTTTAGGCGGAATATATTCGTAACTAAATTTAGAATTCATATATAAATTGAATTCTTGTGTTTGGAAAAAAATAACTCAATTTACTCAATTGAATTTCATATATATCTTTGTTTAGAGAGAACATAGAATTGATTTTGATTTTTTTTATTTTTTGGTATTTAACAGAGAGAGGGAGAGAGAGAGATCGTTTAATTTTACATGATAAAAGAGGTGATTAAGATGATTATTTTCAAAAATTCTAAACCTGTGAAATTTAAAATGGATTCTGCAAAATTTTGTTCTAACCGTTGGAATGTGCAAAAAAGTTTATGCCATTTTCAGCATTTTAAGTTCATGAACAATATGTTCAGCTATCTTACATTTCTCATCTCACAACACTAGAAATCCACCTCCATTCAAGATTAGCCCATGCAGGCAAGTATAAGTGCAACTGTTTTTCCCACAGATGGATTAAACGATGCCACTTTGCTTCTCTACAAACAATATGGGACAAGCATGCAATTTTTGATATCTGAAAATAACTAATCCTCCAAAAGTCCTGCCAGCAATGACCTAACCCACAAAAATAAGATGAAATAAAAAAAATAGTAAGAAAGGGCTGTAGTGTCTGTGAAACAAGATCATCCTGAAAGCACAGTTAAGAATCCTTTAGCCCGTCTTTGAGCATTGCACCAAATGACTCAAGCTGGTAACTGAAGCTTCTTGTTGTTTTTCCAGCTGCACCACAATTTTTTGACAGTAAAAATATAAGTTAAAACTTAGTCAAACTGCAATAGCTAGTGTACAAAGATTTGCTTGAATAGGACTTGTACCTCTCAAAGTAATAATAGAAGAAGTCAGCATAAAGCAATGTTTGTACAAGCCCTGATACCCAAGCTGCGCAGCCAAAAAAAAAAAAACAGAACATGTGAATGCCTGCAAAGCTTGAACTTAATTTTCAAATAGCTAAGCTTGTAAGTAAATAGAGTTCAACTTGTTCAAACTTGTGAATTGAGAATAAACTCGTAAGAACATGCCCTTGTGTAATCTACTAGTTTTATATGTTTATTTAACTTGGCTTGACTCAATGTTCCACACTGAAAAGCATACGTAAATATATTTGATCCAGTGCATTTTCAATTCAGAGTTACACACGAAAACGCTTTGGCAAAAGCTCCTAAAGTTGAAGCTAACTTGACATTATAACAAACCTAGATGAGCTAGTTCATGACAATATAAAAAACCTTGATGAAACTACTTTGACAAAAAAACAACATACTTGCATTTTAAGTTTATAAACAGTATGTTTTATTGCCATCCCCAATATATATATATATATATATATATATATATGGGATACTTTTACACCAAAACTCACTTCCTTCTTTTAACCTATAAAATAAAGAAGGATGCATGATGTACAAAAAGCAGAATAGCCCTCCCTCATCCCTGACACTCATTATTGGGAAAATGCAACATACCAAGATTTCTTGATGGCAACCCTCTTCATATTCAAGTAACTAAACTAGTTAACCATCACGAGCATGACCCCTTGAACTTCGGCCAAATCACAAAAGAAATCTTAAACTTTTAATAGTTTTTATAATGTTGGCCAATTATTTCAATTTCATCAATTAATTCCTTGTCTTTTATTTTTCATAAAAATTTTGGCCTTCATATGACTATTGTCCAAATTTAGCTAATCTGGCAGTTAAATCTAACAGTGCAGGCCTCCACACAAGCTTTGATTGAGAAATCCACTAACTTGGGAAAAAAGCTCAGCTTTCTTGTAGCCATATTTTTAAAACTTAGTGCCATGTGACTAGCACAGCTAATCAGAAGGACAGAGCTTTTTTGTCAAATTGCTAGTAGATTTCCCAATCAAAGCTAGCGTCCCAAGCGCATGAATACACAATCAATTTTAATAGACATGTCAGCTGACTTTGCACAAGTCATATAGAGGCTACGATGTTATGAAAAATAAGTACAGGGTATCAATTGATACAATTGAAAGAATTAGCCAAAATTTCAAAGATGTTAAAAGTGAGATTTTTTTTTCTTTTTTTGTTATTTGGCCTCAAACTCTAGCAGTAATTGTTGGAGCAAAAAATAGAGAATATTATGTACACACTAATAAAAGGTTCCGCTCATTGTTTATGCACATGCCCGCAAGAGCATGTATATGGATACGTGCATGTGCCTAGATGAGTACATGTGTGCATGTACATGTATGTTGTGAGAAAGACAGAGAAAAGACACACACAAACATGGAAAACAAAAGGAAAGTTCATACTTATCCAATGAACATAGTGTGTCTCAGTGAAATAGCGATAAATCCAGTTGAGAATGTATAGGGCTCGGTATGCACTGCAATTAGAAAGAAAAAGATTGAATGAGTAGGTTACATATTATCCTTTTCAGGAAGTGTCTGAGAAAGTAGCAACTCCAACTGATCACATATGCATTCCCATGAGCATAGATAGTTGTATGAAATTAAGGCAATTCAATAGTCAAAAGCATTATTTTTTTAGCACAAAACTTCTACATATGATTTCAACGAATCAAAAGGCAATTATCTTTACTACAAGATACAAATCTATTTCCCCTTTCTATTACGTATCAAGAGGAATTGCACACTTAACTGGAACTAGAACTATATGGCATTAAAATTACATCGTAAATCCCATAAAGGACTAAACACGATTTGAAAATAGAAAAAGTAGATGTGTACAGAGACAATCAAGATTTGGTAATTAATGAGATACAAAGTCATCCCAGTATGATGTCAAAGACAAACAATTTTTGACAATGAATGCATGATATCACCATAACAGAATAACTTGTAACTGAAGATGGTAGTTTGATATTAACAATTCATGTATTCTGAAATGGCAACTTACCCAAGAAGAAATACATATTGCCCGGTCAAGTTGTCAATGTTTCTAGTTCTTTGTAACAGCACAAGCTGAGGAAGTATGGCAACAGCTTCTAAATATATGGAAAATGCCCACATCACCTAATCAATTTTGTTGTCAAATATATAAGAAAATGAAAAGCACTTTAAGAAGGTAAAGCAAACTTTTTGAGATAAAGTTCAAAAATATCTGCACATCTCAAGCGGCTTGAGGATAGATTTAGCAAAGGTATGCATATTTATTACTAAAATTGAAAAATAAGATAGGTACAATATGATGAAAACAAACCTCTTTAAATGTGAATTTCTCATTGACAAGAAGAGCCAAGAGTAAGCAAGGAATTATAAGGAAATAATGGCGGAAGGTGTCTTGAGATTTATCATAAGACCTACTGACAATCTTGTGGTTCCTTATGTACCAAACAATTGAAAATGAACTTCCTAAAAATATCAGCTTCATCGTAGTATTGTAGAGGGATATGAAATCCGTAAATATATCCAGATAGCGAGTAGCAAAAACAAGAGCATAGAGTTCTTGAGTCTTCAATGAAATGCCTGAATAAAACATAGCAGATTCAAACTTTAGAATAACTCTGACAACTAATAAAATTAAAAAAAATACCCCATGTTCTAATGAAAAATATTTAAAATTGCAACCAGTAACTATTTATTTAAACATTTGTATAGAGCATCTGTAAGTAAGATTGAACAAGCATGGTTAGCAATTCCACACACTTACAGATGGAGAAGTTTTAGGGGGCAACATAGCAGTTTTACTCTTTGGTAAAGAGTGATGAAAGATCCTCTACCCAAAGCATGAAAAAAGCACTTAGTGAAAAGGAGGGAAAACAAGAAAAAATGAGAAGTGAAAATGGGAGAAGATTCAGGCAAGTTGTCTAAAATACAATACATCTTCAAATTGTGAATAACATTTTAAACATTAATGATTTCTTAGAGGAATCAAATTAGTTCAATGAAATTTAGATTAATTGAAGAAAGCTAATATGAAGATTGAGTAAAAACAAGGGTTTATTACTTCTTCCTTCACTCTCTTGACTCTTGTCAGAAATTGGGTTGTCGCTTAGTGCAAAGGACTCATCAACAATGGACCAAGCATGGGCAGCAGTAGAGGCTCTTAATACTCCAAGCAAAGTTAAAAATGAATTACGGGGAGATCACAGGTTTCTTCTGGTAAAGGTCAGAGAGAGATTGTTTAATGTGTGGAACTCAGCAAGGCAGGTGCAGATCTGAAGTTAGAACTTGTGAGATGCAAAGCATATGTCCATTTTGAAAGAATTGATCCCAAAGATGCAAAGGAATATAATTTCTTTGAGCATATCGGGGTTTATGAGGGTCACTTGAGATCCCATGTTACTCAATGAAAGGGAAACTGCATCAAAGGTATCTATAAGGGAAACTCTCATGTTCATGTGGAAGATTGCATGGAACTATGAGGAAGAGTCTCATCCGCAATGAAGTCAAGGAGAGACATTGCAAATTGTTTTCAAAATACAGACTGTTGTAAAAGGAAATATCCAGCCGGTGATAAGATTAAGATATTAAGCTCTCTCTCTCCAGAGTCAGGTTAGCAGAATTGTATCAATTTCAGCTATAAATAATAGTGTCTTTAGAAGTGAAACAATGCAATAAAACGAGAAAGGTCTTATAAATACTACATGTATTAAAGGGGCAAAGACACTTTGTAAGTTCAAATAACAGCACGCTCGGAAGTAAACTCTCTAAGTATTCAAGAAATTAGGGATTTAGGTTGGATTGAGTCAAAGGTAATTACAATTTTCCAATCTTCTATTTATGATATAGCGAAGCATTTGGCATTGCCTAGTGCTTGTTAATTTCTTGTTTTGGTAAGTCAAATGAGGTTATACCTCCTAACAATCAAAACACATCCTCAAGTAGCAAACCTTAGCTTTAGCTTCTAACATGCTTTATCACATTTCTTCCAACACTCAATACTGCCACAATCTAAACTCAATTGCAAACCATTTCCCGTAATTTACCTAAGAGAAAAAGGAAAGAAACAAAGAAATCTCCTATTCTTTTATGCAAAATTTATCTTAATATATAACATTTAAGAAGAAATACAAAGCATTTTAAAAAATACATGGACATGAAAGCATTATAGAGAAAGAGATAGAGAGGTACCAGCGCAGGATTTGATGGTGTGGATCTTGAGTAGCAAGACGAGAACGCTGGCAAGGTGAGTCATATCACCCGCTAATCTGAAAATATTCATCTTTCTTCTTCGAGATTCGACAGTTTCAAATTCCTTGTTTATTTTCTCGCAGTTTAGCAGAGGAGCGAGCTTCTTCCAGAGAACGCAGTGCGGTGGATTCGCACCAGGGTCAGGTCAGATCTCGCACCAGTAGAAACCTTTGCGTTTTTTTTATTTTTTTATTTTTTTATTTTTGCTTACTTATGTGGTTTATCACAGTTTTATTATTATTATTTTTTTAAATCAGAGTTTGTAGTGCTATTGTGATGCTGTCAGCATCAGTGACGAGTTGTGGCCAATGAGATAATCCGATTTCTGTGTTTCTTTTATTGAAACTGAAGCAAAATTTAACTAATTCGCCTAATGCATAAAAATATCCAACTTTAACGTATTAACCTGTTATGCCTAACTTGCCTATACACGACGCTTGTACACTGGGGCCTCAGCAGGTTAAAAAAAAGGTTTTTTTTTTTTTAAATTTTTTTTTCCGACCGGATGGTCAGAAACAACGAGGGTTAGCAATTTTCAAATTCTAACTCAAAATCAAATCAATTTGACTCTCGATTCCGATGATTATTTTAAAATTTTAGTTATCAACTGATTTATTTATATAAAATTATTTGATTTTTAATATTAATTCGATTATCATCAAATTTACTTTTAAGTTTAAAAAAAATTAATTTGATTTAAAATAATCGAATTTAAAATCAAACTCAATTGGTTCAATTCAGTTTTAAACGATTTTTACATCATTCGATTTTGAATTTGATCACTACAAAAATAAATTAAGATTGAATTAATTCGGTTTGGTTAACCGGATGATCGTATTCTCATTTGAATTAAAAAAAAAATGCATTTAATTAGTTTGGTGTTAGATTATTCCTCCCGGTTTCTTGCATAATACGACATAATTTCATGTTAGCAATTTATTTTTTTTAAATAAAATTTTATTCCTGAAGCAAAATAAAACAAGCAAAAAATTATTATTTTCTAAACATGTTAAAGTATCATTAGTAACATCATTTAAAAAAAACACACACACGCACAGGGTTTCCTAACAAGTCATTTTATACTAAAAGGATATTGTCTGAATGTAGCTTAAAAAAAATTGTTAATAATAGTGAAATCATTGTCAACAGTTGTTTCTTTTTCGCCTTTTATTTGTTTTTTAAATTCAGAAGAGAGGGTCAAAATTGGATTCCATATTAACATATTCATTCCGAAATATGTTATTTATAATCCGAGATCAATGAAACTATATTTACAAGTTTTTCCATTTCAATATACATATATATAATCCAGCAAAGCCAGTAATATAAACAAATAAAAGTTAAAATCATTAAAAGTTTTTTTATACATAATTTTAAATATTTTCTTTGAATAGATTAAATTATAATATAAAGTTATTGGTATTTTATTTTTTTTAGTGATTTTTCATTTAATCATTCTTATAATTCTATAAAATAATAAAATAATAAAATAAATTTTTTATTATACTAAATATTGAAATATGGATTCATATTCCAATTGTCATTTTATTATATTTATTTCATTCTATTTCAGCTGCCAAATATTGTCGTGTATTATTAGAAATACTCATATCTATTATAAAGTTTAAACCAATAGGTGGAGACGGACTATATATATAATGTTAATATTTGTTGTTTTTAATTTAATCATGTGAAAATTTTAAACTATAATTTAGATCGTTAGAGATATCTATAATACAACCGTTCATTGAGTTAATTTATTTACCACTTATGAAAGTTAAAAATAAAAACATTCTCCAACGTTATTGTCTATTTAGTGTGTGAGTTTGATGTGTCAAAAAGACAATGAGATATTGTCTATCGCACTCTCTATTTCCTGAGGCTCTGTTAGATAGCGTGATTAAACTTTTTGTCTTTTTTTTCCCTTTATTTATATATTTTTATTTTATTTTATACATTCTCGTTTATTTGCGCTCAAACTTCTTATCGCACTAAAACTGATTTCTTCTCCGTGTGTAGAGAATCATTTTTAAAATCTAACATTTACAAATACACATTCACCAATGTCATTATCTATAACTGTTATTTATTAAAATATATCAGCCACAATCCATGGTTGTATTAGAGTACTCTCATATATATAACTTAAAATTTAAAGTAGATTTTAATTAGAGTTCAACTTTTGAAAGATTGTGATGAACCAAGGTTTTTGGATAGAATGATTATTACATTATTTTAAAATTGTAATATAATTTTTTTTAGGAAAAAATATTTTTCTTTTAATATCTTTTACTTGATTTCATATATAATAAGATGAATTATTCAAATAAAAATCTTTATATAATATTTCATTTTATCATAAAATATCTCCACTTGATTAACCCACAATAAAAATACATAAAATATCTTCTGGTAAATATTTTCTTCAACTTTTTTCCTTAATTACAAATAAAATAAATAAATAATTAATTCCTAATATTCAGGCCCATGTTTTCACAGCCGCAACCCATTGTTACATCGTTTCGTCCCCACCAACGAAGAACTCGACACAAAGATTAAAAAAGACAATGTCACATTCACGTTCGCAGTTAAAAAACATATTACATGTCCCACACTCACCTAAAAGCCGACGAAATACGCGCCTTCCTCACCAACATCTAAAAAGCAAAAAGCTATTACGGACTTCCCTTCTACAATTAGACTGTTGACCGACGCGTCAGTTCGCGTGAGAAAATAAGTAACTCACCCAGCCCAGCCCACAGTTGTCATAAGTATGGAAAGAAATCTTGATTAAATTAATAAATACTAATCAATGGAAGATTATCTCATAATCCCACGAGTAACGGACTCTTTCTGGTGATGGTCCACTGTGTACTGTGTCGTGGCCCTCTTCTCGCTATTTCCGATATTTAATTTAAATATATAAATATATATGTGGGAATCGAATTAAAGGGCACAATTAAGGTAGAAGAAGAGAGATAGAGTCGGCGCTTTTTTCTTGGCTGTAGGGAGTACAGAGTGAGAGAGAGAAGAGCACATATCTCAAGTCAAGCACAAAACACTTACTGTACTGTATTTTGTTTATTATTTTATTTTATGTCTTTGTGTATAAATTTTTGGAGAATCTGAAGTCCGAAGATTAGTCGATCTCTGGGGTAACGGCTATTTTTTCTTTTTATGATATTGAGGGAGAACAAAGTTTGATTTGGTTTTTAAGGCTACCTTTAGAGATGGATTGTAACAATGACGGGTATATCTCTATGTCTATTTCAGTAATCACTGGTCTTCTGATTAATGGTTGGTTTTAGAATGCATGGTTGGTTTATTGTTTTTTATTTTATAATTATTTTGGTTGGACTGCTACTTTTTTTTTAGATTAGATTTTGATTTTGGAGATGTTTTTAACTGATCTTTCTTTTTTTTTTTTTTTTGAAAAAATTTATTTAAGGAGATTGCCATGTTTCTACACTACATTTTAGTTCTAATTATTTATCTATCCACCTAACAATCTACTTTTGCATTTATTCCTGGTTTTGTGAATTTCAATTTGCTTGATATTTTTTTCTTTTAATTTGTTTTTTTTTTCTGGGGTTTACTGGATTTATCTTGTACTGTTTGAGAGTAGATGATTATGATGATGATGATGCTGATGATAATGAATATGTGGGCTCTGAACAAATTTGGTGGGTCATTATATTTCTTTTCCCCCTTTTCTTTTGACCTTTTTTATTTGCTCATTTTAAACAATTTACTACGAATTGTATATTTCTGAACATGGATTTTTGTTCTGATGTTTTTATCTTGGATTGGATCCAAACTATAGGCATGTTCCTTTACTCAGAATTTGATATTTGCTATCTGCTACAAAATTTGGTTGCATTGAGCTGATTTTACTTTACCCTTATGCCTTTTCATATATTATTTGTTATTGTTTAGTGTATTGTTATAATTTTCCTTTACCATTTTGATTCTCTCCACCAAATTTTGACTATGTTCTTATTTTACATTATGAATTATCACTGTTGATATGAGGTAGACTTAAGTTGGATGTTGTAAAATGCAGATTGAATTCTGATTCTAAGCATAGGGTTCTGTTTGACTTTCTATAACTATATTCTGACTGGCTTTAGAGATGTGCATCAGTAAGCCTAACTATTTTTCCTCCTTGTTTTGTGAAGTAATACTAGACAACATTGGGATTGGCAAGGTGAGGAATATTGTAGCCAAAAGGATTCCAATTATGGTAAGTTGTTTGCCTGGTTTATAATTTGCTTGGAAGTGGAAGTATGTCACTGAAGATAGCGTTTTGGCCTGAGCCAGATAACAAACAAATGCATTTACTGATGTTGGGTATTGTTGTTTTGGGCAGATGTATCTCAATGTATATGGAATGAAGTGGCTTTGAATGAGGAAGATCTCTCCTACATGTTAGATGAAACAACCCCAGTCAAGTCTTGCGGGGATTTGGCTTACCACATTAATCATAGCGGTGCGACTTGATTCCCAAGTTTTTGCTTTCGTCTAAGTTGCCAATAGTTTTTTCTAATCGGAAAAGATGTATTTCAGATAGCATGGACAAGGAACCAGCAGAAAAAAGGGACTCATTTTCTCAGTTAAAGAGACGCCGAATGCTACAGTTTGATACTCAACCAGGAGATTCCCCCTTTTGCAATGAAGATATATCGTCTGTATTTCTTCAATCAAATGTAACTGCTAAATGTCCCTTTTCTGTCTGATGCTTTCGTTATCTAATAAACTGTTGTTATTGTAATCCTTTTTGTGATGAATAGGCATTTGGAAAATTTTAAATATTTATGCTGTCTCTGGTTTTTTAGCATTGAAAACCCTATCATACAAATGATATGATGTGTATCTATATGCAAATAAATTTTGGTATATAATGATATCTTGCTATTCTAGATATCTGACTAAACAGTTGAGCTGTAGCTTTAAAATTGAACATGATTGGACAACACACAGTTTTCTTTAACTACCTTAACTCTATTGATCGAAATTGCATATTGTTGGACACAATTCAGTTTTCTATACCTAGTTCAACCATGACTTGGGTCCATCAACCAATTTTAGTCCGTCTTTACATCTTGTTCTGCATCATCCATAGTGTACTGAAGTTTATTCTCTCTCTACATATGACAATCGATCTGCTTCAATGCTTTTTGTGATTGAATAGTTCTGGTTCTATGTTTAGGAGAGGGAGGACTCACTTGAAGAAGTTTTACCTCAAGCATCAGAGTGGCTTCCTGGGTTTTCAGGTTTGTTTCTTTCAAGAATCTGGTTTGAAACCTATTTCAACTTGGAGCTGCCGATTTTATTCAACTGTTGAATTTATAATCATGATTTCATATGTTCTAGCAGATGCATCTGCCTCCAGTTATGAGGTCCTGGATCAGTCCTCTGAGGGATGGCTTGCTGAATGCCTTAATGACACTGAGATGCATTTGAGTCCCAATGATATGTATGCTTCTTTATGCTTTTAAAGCTCTAGCTTCATTACTTTTCTCTAGAAGCTGATTGATTTATTTTGTGAGACTCAGGAATTTTCCTGGAGCATCTGATGTTCAAATTGATATTTCAGGTATACTCCTTGGTTTTTTCTCATTCATATAACAGGCATTTTCTTTTCAGTATCAAGTGAAGTGCTTAATGCCTATCATGTAAAGACATTATGTAAAGTGCATGATATTAGCTTTGCTGATGTAGAGTTCTGCAATGGTCCAGTTGGGAATGAAGCCAGTGTAATTCAAAAGCGTGTGACCCGAACTCCCCGGAATGTAGTTTTTAAAGGTCTTTCTCCTTTCACACTATTCTCTTCGCGCTTGTATCTACTTGGTACAGTGTCATTTATAATTGCTAATATAATTTATATCTTCTGATGAGTCCAAAAACTGTTCTTGCCCATTCGTTTTTCTTTTTTGGTGGGGGTGGTGTTGGGATAGGAAGCAACATAAACAATTGAAGTATCAACATAACTTTGTTAATCCCAACTTCTTTTTGTTTTTCCACAATTAGGTAAGAAGTCTTTCATACGAACCCCCACTAAGTTAGCTTCTTCTGTGGTCTATCCGTTTGCATTCATCAAACCTTGTGGGTTCCATGGAGATGTTACATTGAAGGACATAAATCAGCGGATCCGCACGCCTCCACCATCAAAATCAAAGCAAAATGATGAAGATCCTACTGCTTATCCAACTTCGGCTTTTTCTGGGAAGCCTGTTGTTGGCAAAACTAAAATTCGTACTGAAGGAGGAAAAGGAAGCATCACAATTATGAGAACCAAAGGTTGAGTAGATAATTGTCTTTTTCTGGGAAACCTGTTTTGCAGCCCGATGAACTCATCCCGATGTGCAATGGGGCCGAGTTCTTCTTAACCTTGTTTTTATGCTCTGTAGAAATCTCGGGCCTTCCAAAGTATAGGTGTTGATAGTGGATTTTTTCTTTTTTTTTTTTTTTTTTTTTTTTTTTTTTTAACCTTGTTTTTATGCTCTTGTAGAAATCTCGGGCCTTCCAAAGTATAGGTGTTGAAAGTGGATTTTTTTCTTTTTTTTTTTTTTTTTTTTTTTTTTTTTTCTTCCCCATTTTTTTTCAGAGGTTGTTCTTGGAATTCATAAAATCACATGAATCAGTGTTATGGTTTCCAAGTAGTAGTTTTAAGGCGTCAATGGCCTGTTATGATGCAATACATGATTTAAGCTTTGGTCAGAATAATGGAAATTTTGATGTTCAATGAGATTTGTGTGTTTCTTTTTATCCTTCAGTGAATGCCTTTTTTTCTCTTTTCTGATATTTGATTGATTTTTTTTTTTTTTTTTTTTTTTTTTTTTTTTTCTTTTCCATTTTTTTAGAGGTTGTTCTTGGAATTCATAAATCACATGAATCAGTGTTTATGTTTCCAAGTAGTAGTTTAGGCGTCAATGGCTGTTATGCAATACATATTTAACTTTGGTCTAGAACTAATGGAAATCTTTTGATGTCAATGAGATTTGTGTGTTTCTTTTTAGTCTTCAGTGATGCCTTTTTTTTCTCTTTTCTGATATTTGATTAGCAAGAATGCTTCTTCTCATCTAAGAGCTTGTTATATGCACTATGTTCTAGTATGAGCAGCATATTGTAAATTTTAAAACTTCCTTTTATGTATATGAAATGAAGATCGAAGAGCAAGATTTCTATGTGTTTAAGCTGACTAGGGCCTAATTCTTTGTTTGTCGGAGCTGCTTTTTCACCCTTTACATGTTCATTGGTTGGGCCTGAGCTTGAAAAATGTTACGAAGACCCATATACCACAGGCCATGGCCATAAGTGTTTTTCAACCTGGATCACCAACAGCTTTTTATTATTGTTCCTTACCGGAGTGTTCACGTTACTGTTCCTGCTATGGTTACACACACACACACACGTATATATATTAATTTATATTTAATATGAAAAAAATGTCCTTTTCTCTTGACTTATCTTTATTTATGATTTTTTAAAGTTTTTTATTTAAAATTACTCAGTTATAAAAAATTAATAATAAATGTTAATTAATTCTTTTAAAATCTGTTGTTATTTTTATTAAACATAATAACTGTTTACAATTTTTAAAAAACTCATTTGCCATTTCACTTTTTCTCTTTTAATTTTAGTTTCTAAATATTTGTCATATTTTTTTTTTTTGCAAGGAAATAATTATCGTATTTAAAAGTTATATTTAAAAAAATTATATTTCTAAATACTTAATTTTAAAAAGTAATAGCAACCATTAATATGGGTATCAAGTTTTCTAATGATTTGATTTGATTGGCAGTTGGCACACATTTCAAATTAAAGAAATGGAAGAATATTCCACAACAAGATGCTCTTTTATCAAGTTATCAACTTCCACCACAAATGTCACTGTTAGAGAGTCAATACCAATTAAATGAAAAGGAAAATTTTTTTAAAAAAAATAGAGGGTTTGTCCCTCTACTTTTTAATTTAAAAAAACGGTTATTAAAACGGTCAATACTTAGGTCATAGAGCAGTATATATAACCACAAGGTGGCGGTAATATATACAACCCGCCAAGGCCGTTACGTCATACGGAAACCAACCAACCGCTAACTGTTCAAATATCCAAGCATAAAAACTAGAATATACTCTCTTCCCTTTTTTTTGGACTCCGGTTCATTCTATTTTTTTCCAATCCATTTCTCTTTGCCTTCTCCTTCTTCGTAATTCTCTCTTTCTCTCTTCTTCTATACACACAGTCGATAGCTACTCTGCTTCTCCCTTCTTCTTTTTCTTTTTCATGGAAAATCCATGACTATGGCGGGGTTTCAGTATTCCTTTGTTCTTGCTCCGTTTCTTATTATAACAACTTCTTTATCAGTCTACGGCAAGAACAAGATTCTGTCAACTTTAGACGGTCCGTTTGAGCCAGTTACTGTTCCTTTTGACGTTAGATTACGTGGTAACGCCGTTGATTTGCCCTATACTGATCCCCGAGTTATTCGCCGAGTCAGAGGATTTGAGCCAGAGCAGATATCGGTTTCTCTATCGGCCTCTTACGATTCTGTTTGGATCTCCTGGATTACAGGTTCTTCTTCTTCTTCTTTTTTATACAATTTTAATTAATTATTGATGGAAAATTAATAATGGGGTATTGTTGTTGGATTTTGCAGGGGAATCCCAAATTGGTTATAACATAAAACCACTAGACCCTAAAAGTGTTGCCAGTGTTGTTCGTTATGGGCCTTTGAGATATCCGTTAAGTCATGAAGCTAAGGGCTATTCCCTTGTTTATAACCAGCTTTATCCTTTTCAAGGTCTCCAAAATTATACTTCTGGAATCATCCACCACGTTCGTCTTACTGGTAATGTTCGTCAATTCTTTTGCAGTTTTTCCCTTTCCTGGTGCTTTGAAAATTTTTAATGGCAGGGGTAGTCAGATTTAGGAATAAAGGAAATTTTTAATTAGCAATTTTTTTCTGGTTTTTGGTTGTTAACAGGGTTAAAACCTGACACATTATATTACTATCGATGTGGGGATCCTTCTATAAAAGCAATGAGCAGCATTTACTCATTCAAAACAATGCCAGTTTCTAGTCCAAGAAGCTATCCTAGTAGAATAGCAATTGTGGGAGATCTTGGACTTACATACAATACAACTTCCACAATCAGCCATGTGATTAGTAACAAACCTGAACTTGTTCTGCTTGTTGGAGATGTTACTTATGCAAATCTATACCTCACAAATGGAACTGGTGCCGATTGCTATACATGTGAATTTTCTGATTCTCCCATACGTGAGACCTATCAACCTCGTTGGGATTATTGGGGAAGGTTAATTTCCAGTTTCTAGCTTGAATTTGTGATTCTACGAGTTTTTTGAGTTTACAAGTCATTAACTTTTGCTTTTCAAGTGAATTTCAGTTAAACAAGATTCTTAAACTGTCTTTCTAATAGTTTCAATCTTCAATGTTAATGTCAGACAGACTCTAAAGGATAAAACTTTGATATTGTTATTGTTGGATGTTTGTTTGCAGGTTTATGCAGTCTTTAATTGCTAGAGTTCCAATTATGGTATTGGAGGGGAACCATGAAATTGAACCACAAGCTGGAAATCAAACATTTGTTGCTTACAGTTCTCGATTTGCATTCCCATCTAAAGAAAGTGGATCTTCATCTACATTCTACTATTCTTTCAATGCTGGTGGGATACATTTCATTATGCTTGGAGCATACATTGCTTATGATAAATCAGGTAAAAATGAAGCGAGCAATTTATTCTTGTGGAGAAAGACAATTTTATAATGGCTTTTGATCAAATTTTGAAATGTTAAAGGAATTTACACTTGTAATTATGTTACGTTTTGATTTCTTTGACAGCTGATCAGTACAAGTGGCTGGAGAATGACTTGGCTAAAGTTGACCGATCAGTAACTCCATGGATAATAGCTACATGGCATCCACCTTGGTATAGTTCTTATAAAGCCCATTACAGAGAAGCTGAGTGTATGAAAGTGGCAATGGAAGAATTGCTTTACTCATATGGTGTTGATATAGTCTTCAATGGACATGTAAGTGATGAAATGATGATCGTTATAGTCTTCAATGGAAGAATTGCTTCATTAACCTTTTTGCTAATGACAAATTAATTACCAGGTTCATGCATATGAGAGGTCAAATCGAGTATATAATTACGAATTGGATCCATGTGGTCCGATATATATCACAATTGGAGATGGGGGTAACCGAGAAAAAATGGCTATAGAACATGCTGATGAACCTGGAAAGTGTCCGGAGCCATCAACTACTCCTGATGCTCACATGGGTGGTTTTTGTGCAACAAACTTTACAACAGGCCCAGCTGCAGGTAAGTTCTGTTGGGACCGACAACCTGATTACAGTGCCCTTAGAGAAAGTAGCTTTGGCCATGGAATTCTAGAGGTATCTTTCTTTCTCTCTGCAAATAAAGATCTTTTTGCCCTTTTCTGACTTAAAGTTGAGTATTATTGTGAAAATGTATCATGTTTGTGCTCAATTAGATGATGTTGAAGTTCCGAAATAATTTAGTGTTGAAATTTTGAATGTGAGGTTGTTTTAAACTCAACTCCTGTGCATTGGAAAAGAAAACTGGACTGGGTAATAGAACACATTTTCATTTTGATTCAAGATCATACAGAACGTGATTATTTTGAACTTTATGGACATGTAAAATGTTGAATAATGAAGATACTGCAATCTTATCAGCAAAAGTTTTAAACTTTGAATGTGAATTGCAGGTGAAGAATGAGACATGGGCTTTATGGACATGGCACCGAAATCAAGACTCCGAGAGTAAAATTGGGGATCAAATTTATATAGTGAGACAACCTGATAAATGCATGATCCGTCCAACGCTAACTAAGCATTGGTCGTGGGACATTTAAGTTTGTTTTAGTAGAAAATTCTGATCATTGAAAGTGTTGTTATTTTAATCATATGTGAGATGATGGGAGAGAAGAAGAAGAAGAAGAAGAAGAAGAAGATATATGTAGAGAAATACAATAGCAGGGGAAGCATCTAGATCCTTTCCCACTATAGCAGTAAATAAAAATACTATCCATTTTTTTAGCATTGCATTGCAAGTTTAGATTACTAGTACATAGTATGAAGTTTACATTTAGACATCTCTCTCACTCCAGATTTTAGAAAAAAAGTCCTTATCATGTTTGATTGTTATCATGACAATGGATGGAGCCTGCAAAATTTATATCCAATAAGGGCATTTTGATAAAATGAAAATTATAGTTGTGGTTCGATTTCAATTTTTTTTTATATGAAGTACTGTAGTTTTTTTTTTTGAAAGGTAAGTACTATAGTTTTAAGAAGTATTGTATTGTTGTTGTTGCATAAGAAATTTACAGTTGTAGTAAAGGGTTTTAATTCTAGACTTTCTGAACCATGAACATGAAGTGAGTAAATCTAACTAGTGTTGTTATAGAAATTAAGAAAGTAAATCAAAAGGGCATGCTTATTTTTGGACAAGGGTTTCAGAAGAGATGGTTAGAGAGCAGGTGCAAGATTCCAGGAACAAATGCACAATACAAGCAATTACTATACAAGATGACAAGCAAACAGGCAAATTTGAATCTCCATCTCTGGAACCTGTAGAACCAGAATTGGTTAATTTATGTTATATATATATTTACTATTTAGCCAGGGCATGATTGAGTAATAGGTTATGAAATGAAAATGACTTGTGTGAATTCAAAAGACTTGAAAGTCACATGCAGTTGGTTGAATTTTGATGTTGTTGCATTAAATACAAAGCTTTACAAGTTATGTATATGCCCCACCTCATTTTTAAACTTATCTTCATATTGGTTTCATACATGAATTGAGGTCTGAACTTTACAAGGACTATTTAACAGCATCTTATATTTTTATGTTGGTCTATTAAATTAATTTATCAACTTGTAAAATTATATCTATTAAATACTTTAATTTGTAAAATTATACCTATTGAACATAATCTTATATATTTTTTAATTACTGATTATTTGTATAATAAGTATATTAGTTTTTTCATATTTTAATACAAATAATTGAATGATGAATTTCATATTTTTATATTTGTTTAATCAGTTGATAAGTAACCGTATCTTTATAAGTTAAACTGTTTAATAAATATAATTTTATAGATCAAAGGATTTAGCACGAAATATAAAAATTAAGAGTGTCATTGAATAGTTTAGATAATAAATTCTCTCTGGTTATCTAAGATAGAGATGTTTTAAACCTATTTGATTTAGCAATAATCAAACTACAACCAATTATTCATAGTCAACTAAACCAAACAAACTGCAAAAAACTCTGAAGGTGGTAATGTCTAATCAAACAGAATTCATGATTAAACCCTTCTTTTAATAAAGAGAAGGGACAATTATCCTTTAATAAAGTATGACCATCATTAACTTAATTTCATTAATTATTTTATTTGGCTTTTTGTGTGTGTAAACCAACTCTGAACTAGCATATGATCTGTCAGTCTTCCTGCTAAAATACAAGAAGACACTTGTTGGCTAAATGCCAAAGCTAGCAACTCATTTTTCCATCCTCAAATGCAGGGACAGTTTCTCTTCATATAAATTTTTTATTTTACCATTTCCAAAAATTTATCCAAACAAGTCACTAACAAAAAAGGATGTTTACACAAATTTGAAATTTTTTGTCATTATAAATAAAGCTGGGAACTTGAAAAAAAAATATTAAAAATTAAACAAAAAAGCTAAAAAATATCAAGAATTTCCGAGATGTAACCATTGCACAGAGGGCAATTACCCCTTTGGACCCAAAGCTCTCTTGAACATAATCTGCAAAAGGTATGACCACAGGGGATAAATGCCGCACCTTTATGTCTAACCATGCACACGCAGCAAGTATGCTCAATTCCATCGCCACCGTCCATTCCATCATCGTCATCTTCTTCTTCTTCTTCTTCGCAGTCATAATCATCTCCCATTGTGTAACTGGACCCCACAAATCCCATCTGCCTATCTGTTTCCTCCAACAAATCCATTAATGACATCCTCACTGGCGCTGCCTCAGCTGCCCCTGCGCTCGTCGGAGAATCTTCATCTTCTTCCTCCTCATCATACTCCTCTTCCTCCGCCTCAGCCGCGGCTTGAGCAGCTGCCTCAGCCTCAGCCGCTTCCTGAGCGGCTACTGCTTCCCTTGCCGACATCGCTCGATCCTCAGTTATTACCGCGCCTAGACGGCGGCTGCTCTGTCCCGTCTCTTCCTCGGCGTCAAAAAACTGAGACGAGTCAGGGTTCCGAATTGAATTGTGCCGCGACATTTGTGCTCTGAGACTCCGTAAAGGAGGCTCATCGCCTAGAATGCCGAAAGACGATTCATCCGACCGCATTGACTCGGATGGAGTCAGTCCCGATGGACCGTACCGAGAGGAAGTCCGGCGACACATAATTGCTCTGTGACCAGAAACAGCCGGATTATCACTGGAATCCTCCGCGTGAGTTGAATCGCCGGGGGAGGAGCCGGTGAAACGCACCGAATTACGGCGGGCAATGAAGGATCTAGGTTGCGGGTAATTGCTGCTAAAACTCTGGTTGTTATTCTGGATAGGAATATCGGAGGCGGGAACAGGAACGGAGGAGGTCCAAGCAGAACCTCCCGATCGTCTAAGACGAAGACGTTCTCTGAATGCTTTCCAAGTTTTCTTATCCTTGTGGCCAAACAAAGAAACATGAGGCTCATCGTCACGAATTATATCTAAAAGAGTTCTATTCATCTGAGCCGGCGTAGGAGCCAGAGCAGCCGCCGGGCGTTTTTCTCCGCCCAACACAGCATCTAGAGTCAGTCCGGCTAGGTCTCTGGTACCCTCAAGTGCTGACATTTGTTCCAAAAGCGAGAGTCTCCGGCGACCAGCACCAGCACCACCACGACCAAGACCTTCTTCCATCATAAGATAAGTTACAAATCCCAAGACAAATAAGAAACTATGACAAATTCCAATAAATAAAAAAACATTTACACAGGTTGTAAAATAAATTATCTTTAGGAATTCAAGAATTGGAAATGGAATGAGAAATTTTCCAGGAAAATTATAGAATTTCTCTAGGAAAATTGGGACCTACAAGAGAGATCTACATATACATTGGAAAGTGAAAAAACAAGCATTGGATACCTTGCTTGAGAGGGAGCCGTTTCTGGTGGCAGATCTCTCTTATATATCTCACAGCAGCTTTCCAATTTTGTAACTGCAAAAGAAAATATATAAATAAAAAGAAAAAGGAAAAAGAAAAGGTAAAAGTTAGATTATTTTGACCAGAAGAGACAGAGGCAAGTGAATTAGAGAGAAAAGGGAAAAAGAAGAGAGGCATGCACCAAAAAGAAGCCAAAGACGATGTTTCTCTGTAATGTTTGGAATTTGGATTATCAGTTTTTTTTGTTTTGTTTGTATCTCTCCCTATATCTCCGATGTATTGCGATGCAGAGAGAAATTGAGGAAGAAGAGCGAGTCTTATGGGAACATCAGGCCAGGGTCCTTGTTCTTTATCATTTTTTGCGGGAACCTTTTTTTTTTATACTCCCTTCATTTTATAATTTATTCTATCGATTTTACTTGCACACAAATTAATAAAAATTAGTTTATGTAGTTAAATTATAATGTTTATGTTGTTTTTTTTTTTCTTAATATATCCTTATTATTAAAATTAATTAAGTTATCATTAAAATTAATTAAATTATAATTATTTATCCAATAATCAAGGCAATTGGCTAATACATAAGTGAAATATTAGTGGTTGACATTTTAATTTTATTTATATCAATATTTAATTAATGATAATATAGTAATTTTGCTGATATATTTGTTAAGAAAAAAACATATTAAATAAAGGTAAACTAATAAACTTTATATATTTTTTGACAGATGAAAAAGGAAGTTACGACAAAGTAATATTACAAAAGGGATTACATTATGAAATTCAAAATAGAGTGAGAAATGAAAAATCTAATGTGTATTTATCTAAATTAAATATGTAATTAAGTAATTAGATTAAATATGTGAGTACATAATTACACAACTAAAATCCATTAGAAGACAATATCCAAACATGCTAGACTGAAATTGACCCTTGTTCTAACAAAAAAACAAAATCCAAGTTCCATGGGATGGATTATTCCTAATGGTATAAAAAGCATATTTCTCCTTTTTTTGGAAACAAGACTTTCTTTTTAAAAAGTGAAAAAAGGACTGTTTGTTTCATGAGAAAGTTTCAATTTCTTCATAATTGTTAAGATTGATTAGGATGTAAAAATAAAGTCCTTGGTGCAGTTATTATTATAATGATCTCAATCATTGGGATTTTGGTGCCTGAAATCATATGAGAGGATCCAATGCCATTCTGGGACCAAAACACAAACCACAATTTCATTTATTTTTTCAAATGAAATAACATTTTTTCATCCTATATGTCAATGCTATTTAAGCAAACACTGTGGTTATATAATATTTCTTCCGTACCATAATTTTTGTCTTTTTTTTTTTTTTTTATTTTTATATTCATCTCAAATTCGTCTTAGACTGCAGGTTAACACCAATTGATTTCAATGTTTTTTTTTAATAAATATTAGGATTTCAATATTTATAAATGTACACTTACTAGTAGAATTTTTTATTTTTTTTTAGAAGTGTTTGAAAAATTCAAATAATGATGGAAAAAAGGTAAATTAAGGAATTTAAGGTAACATGGTTAAAGTTTATCTTCTCAATAATGCTTGGATAAAAAAAAAATCACGTGTAAAGCGTGGATTAGTGCCCATTTTTATGTTTTTATATTAAATGGATAAAATTGTAAAAAATGATTAATTTATGAGTGGATTGGACATTTTTTATCTAAATGGCTCAATTAATGTTTTTTCAAATAATTTTATGGATTTTGGAATTGAAACTATAAAAAACTCAATTTCAGCCAAACAAACCCAATTAAATTTCAAAATGAAGGACTTAATACTCAATAAATAAAATTAAAATAGAAAAGAGTCTCAATTGCCATTTTAACGATATAGCAATCAGTGATCGAATCTTTTCTTTTAACTTTGAAATTTTTTATATGGTGATTAGATCATTTGTAAAAATAAAAAATAAAAAATCCCATTAATTGTTACGGTCTACAATAAATATATTATGATAAATAAACAATCACATAGAATAAATCATATATTATAATAACTTGAATGTGGTAATTTAGTCGCAAAAAGTACTTGTGGGATTAATCATCATGACTTAGATCATGTGTTCGATTATTTGTAATGCAAACTCTCTTCATATTAGCTTTTTTGCCTCTGAGAATAAGTGATGATTAATCAAGTTTATGGAATGTTAAAATGGACACAGGCTATAATACATCGTGCAAGTATTAAAAATTAATATGTTAAAATCATCTAGTTAGATGATTGTCATAGTTTAGATACTTTAATTGAAAGAGGTGTTTTGGAAAAATTCAACTGGATGGAGTGTAAAAATTGCAATCATCTAATTGTATATTGTAGCATATCACTAAAATCAAGGAATTCCTATCCAATAGCAATTTGTTTGCAATGGCAGACACTTATACAAAATTTTATATTATAAATTATTTGGTACATTTCTAAAATTCTTAAAAAAAAAAAAAAAAAAGAGTGTTAAAAATGGACACAGGCCTATAAATACATCGTGCAAACGTATTAAAAATAATTATGTTTAAATCAAATCTAGTTAGATGATGTCATAGTTTAGATAACTTTAATTGAAAGGAGGTGTTGGAAATTCAACCTGGATGGAGGTGTAAAAATTGCAAATCATTAATTGTATATTGTAGCATATCACTAAAAAGAAATATCAAGGAAATTCTATCCAATAGCAATTGTTTGCAATGGCATGACAACTTATACAAAATTTTATATTTATAAATTATTTGGTACAATTTTAAAATTTTCTTTAAAAAAAAAAAAAAAAAAAGAAGAGTCGATGATATCCCCGAGAGCTACAATACTTAAAAAAAAAAAAAAAAAAGAGAGAGTCGAATATCCGAGCTACATACTCGTAAGATTCATATTTAATATATTTATCTCCTTATATTAAAAAAATAAAATTTGAAATTCATCATTTGATAGGAACTTTTCAATAAATTTAAGAGCAATGCATTCTTTTTATGTCATGAGACACATATGAATATAATTTGAAATCGTTGCTCGTAGTTATGTTCCATATTGTGTAATTTAAAATTATTAAAAGAAATTTAGAGAAGCCATACGTAATTCCAAATAATTTTAAATTTTGATTCAAAAAATTAAATCAAATTTCATAATCTTTAACATTTTCAAGTGTTTATAATTTGATAATTTGTTCTTTAAGGAAAATAATTATTTTATTCCAAATAATGTGGTTGATTTCATTTCAATTTTGCATTTAACTTAGAGTTTAGTTTTTTAGTTGATTACTTTTTTCTAGGTATTGAATGCTGATGTAATTATTAATAAACATTAGTGGAGTTATAATTAAAATAAAATAAATATTATCGTTACTAATTTAATTCTAAAATGATGAGACTTTACATATTTAATTATAGGTATTCCCAATTTAATGTACTTGGATCACTGATCTATCCACTAAAAAATAAACTGCTCCTAGTAAATTGTAATTGGGTAATGTGCTATATTCTGGTTAAAAAGATAATTTTATTTATATAATTTTTTTATTATGTCCTTTTTAAACAAAACATGAGCGATTATTATATTGAAATAATAAGTAAAAATTAATGAGAGTTATTGAAGATAAGATAAAATTTAATAAATGTATAATAGATAATTTAAAGATCGGCTATAATGCAAAAAAAAGGAAGTGCATTATATTTTGGAACGAATGAAAATGAAAAATAGACTATCTTTTTGAAGTAAAGAAAAAATAATATATATATATATATGATCAACCAACTCCGTGTTTTATAAATTTAGCATTGATGAGCTCATATGTATGACCATCATTGTTTAAATGGATGGACCTACTAAAATTATCTTGTCCTTTATATTTTTTATGAGATTATTAGGAATTTAAGATAGTCCCGGTAGTTATAATTACACGAACAACTTATTTTAAATTAAATATTGCTTATTTTTTAATATGCCTTTATGTTAATATCTATAAATATTAAACAATTCACAATAAATTATTTTTTAAATTAATCAAACATTTGATTAAATAAAATTTTATTGAAAGATTAAAGATTGATACGTTAATTTTATTTATATCAGGATTTAATTAATGACAATATAATAATTTAACTATTATTGTAATATCCCTTCCCGGTCCACCCGTTAACCCGAATGAACCGAGCCGAGACGCTACAATCTGGTTGAACTTATATCCTGTCATGCTAATATCATCCTGTATGCTGAAACTTATATCCCTGTCATGGCTAATATCATCCTGTAATCCTGTATGCGAAATATGAATATAAAACACTCCCAATTAAAATTTCAGACTTCCAATATCTCCAACTAATCATCATAACACAACAACACTTTATACAGTCAGTCATAACTGTATAAATCCTCAATAGCATTTAATATCCAGCAAAATATTTGCATTCATGATCTCTATCAAGTCTTCATGACCTAATCATACCAACTATAGTAAAATATTTCATATTCAATCATTTCCTCCAACTACTTACACCATAATAATTACATGCTTCAATTATATTTCCAATCACATAAGCTCTAACAAATGTAATAATCATACATGCCATAAATCTTAATACATGCCAAAATACATGCCATAATTCTTTAATTATACAAACTCTTTAATTATACAACTCTCAATCTACTATGACCAAATTAATCACTTCTGCTTTGATAGTACTCTTCGAGTCTTCAAGTAGCAACCACGATCTTCAACCTACGCGTGATAAAAATCGACGCGCTGAGTATAAAACTCAGTGTTGCTCATAATTCACATACTTAACAAAGTGTGGTGGCAACTCACTTAATATACAAATTTCATAAAGCATTGATCATCATAGGATTATTAAATTCAACATAAATGTCTCTTTATAGCAACGAATTAACTTCTAATTCATAAACATCAATAATTTAGTTCTAATTATCTCATAACTCCTTTACATGAACCTGTAATCACACATTATGATACTAGCATGATCTTACCTGTGCTGTTCATTGTGTTGTAAAATGGATGAGATCAATAAACATGTAAAGGAATACATAAACAGTAAATATTTTCATTGTCCTTACTTGCTATTCATTATGTTGTATGACTTTAATGCCACTTTTAGTCAACATCATATAAGTTATGGATTAATACACAATCTCATGACTGTATGGGCTCCCTTAAGATTCAATTAACTAAACTTGTAAGCAAATAATATAGCATTATACTTTCAATGATCTAACACTGATGTTCTTTATGCTGTATGAATTCTGCAACTTTGATTAATACTCAGTGAATATCACAATGAATAAAGAAACATATAAGCA